GGTTACACTTGCGCCTGCAAGTGCACCTTCACAGCGCAAAACTACTTCAATTACCATCGACGGTCATGCTCTCAAACGAAAAAGCGTCTTTCATCAGCCATATCGTCTTTCAAGGAATTATTAACTGGCAGGAAGAAGCCGCGCATCGAGGTTGGGCCGGTTATGGGATCACTTCATATACCATCCTCCGACCACCTGGCATGTCATTCCTTCAACATCATCACATCTCGAAGTGACAGTAGTATCTCTACCTGATCCTTCCATTGCTACTGAGGGCGTGGGTGGCCCTCCTGAAGGTGAAGGAGCTCAAAATGACGTAGAGGACATGTCCCTGGTAGAGCGCCGAACAAGGCGTCAGAACCGCCAGATGCCATTAAGATTCAGAGATGTGCTTCCACAGCCTCCGCCTACTATACCGTTGAAAGCTCGCGACCGTCATCTTGTGCCCATGGTATCTGTTGTCGCTTCAAATAATCCATCTGCTTTACCAGTACGCACTGTATTATGCACCCCCCAAAATGTCTTTGGGCTCATGCGTCAATACTTCTCGTCTGAAGTGCCATCCCACGATCCAGAGGAGTATGTTACTATTGCGGACTTGTCGTTAATACAGGGCATCCCTCAAGTCAACGATGACGAACATGCGCCTCTCTCTGCGAGCGGCGAGTCTCAGTATCATCCATATCCTAACCGTTCTTCGTTTGAACTCGGCAATTGGTATTGGAATCAAGGAGTGCAGAAATCGCAAGAAGACTATATGAAACTGATGAAGATCATGGGTGACAGTACCTTCAAGGCTACCGATGTATGCTCTACCCATTGGAAAAAAATTAACTCACAGCTTGGTACCAACGACTATGATGAGGGAGATGGAGAGGAATGGGAGGATGAAGACGCTGGATGGAAAAGATCACCGGTGTCTATTGAGGTGCCATTTGCACGCACCACTGAAGTACCAGGTTCACGGTGTTATCACGTTGCTGAATTGTATCATCGTTCTCTCGTGGGTGTTTTGCAAGAGAAGCTGGCTAACGCCCGAGATGATAAGCTATTCCATTATGAGCCGTACCAGCTGCGTTGGAATTCTCCTCATTTGGATGCCGAAGTCTCCATCTATGGGGACTTGTACACATCCACCGTGTTTCACGAAGCTCACAGCAACTTACAAGAATCACCAGGGGAACCTGGTTGCGATTTACCTCGAGTGGTGGCTGTCCTCATGTTTTGGTCTGATGCTATGCAACTCACTTTGTTTGGCAATGCCAAGTTGTGGCCTACCTACATGTACTTTGGCAACGAGTCTAAGTATCGCCATTGCAAACCATCGCTCAACTTGAGCAACCATGTCGCTTACTTTGAAATGGTACACCTTCCTACATTGTTCAATATGGTGCATACTTAAACATCGTATTGTCAGCTCCACGATTCATTCAAAGCCTTTACAGATGGGAAAGGCCTGAACAGCGAGTGCGCAACACATTGCCACAGGGAGTTCTTTCATGAGCAATGGAGGATTCTGCTGGATGATGAGTTCCTCGAAGCTTACGAACACGGCATTGTAGTGTGTTGCTGTGACGGCATCAAACACAGATTTTATCCGAGGATTTTCACTTACTCTGCAGACTATCCAGAAAAGTCCGTATACTCAATTTGTACCTTGAATAGTATTGACTCTAATTTTACTAGAGTACTCATAGCTACGGTTAGAAACTTAGGAGGGTGTCCATGTCCCCGCTGCCTTATACCGAAGAATCATATTCATAATATGGGCATGCCTCTAGATAGAAAACAACGCCAAACCCTCTTTCGCAGTGATGAGAGAAGAAGAATGATGGTGAATGATGCTCGCTCGCTGATTTATGAGCAAAACTTCGCGGTCGGCAGTGCAGCGGTGGAACACATTTTGAAGCCGCAGTTGTGGGTACCTACCTCAGTAAGACTTCCAGTTCGTTCGCCAACCATAGCTTACTATGTCTTAGAATGCATTCTCAGACCGCCTGGGGCATATGGGTTTCAGTATATTTCATGCTCTTGTGGTGGATTTGTTACATGAATTTGAGATCAGCATGTGGAAGATGTTGTTTATTCACTTGTTACGGATCATTACGGCGCAGGACCCGGGTCTCATTCATCAATTGGACCAGAGGTATGATGTATGCTAACATGTTACTTGTCTGATTCAGCTGACTCCTCTGTCATCAGATACAGGCAAACTCCGATGTTTGGACCAGCCACCATTCGAAAGTTTTCGGCCAATTCTTCCGAGATGAAACATTTGGCGGCTCGAAACTTTGAAGATCTCCTCCAGGTATGATCTTGCCGCCATTCAACTTAGATAGGCTGACACAATGCACAGTGCTCCATCCCTATCTTTGATGGCCTTCTTCCTGAGCCACATAATCAGACTGTTCTTGAGTTTCTCTTCACCATGGCTCATTGGCATGGGCTAGCCAAGCTCCGAATGCATTCTGATTTGATGCTCGAAATTATGGACCACGTGACGTCAGCACTCGGTCAACAGTTTCGTCAATTCAAGGCAACAGTTTGCAATGCTTACAGGACCCGCGAACTTGGCCAGGAAGTCAAGGCTCGTGCCCGACGCCGTGCAAAGAAGGCAGTGCACCAGAAGGCAGGGCATAAATGTACACAATCTACTCGTGTCGTAGAGCAAGCAGAGGTGGACGCCTCGGAGAATTTGAAGCGCAGCAAAGTGTTCAATATTCAAACATACAAATTTCACGCGTTGGGAGACTATGTGTCTACCATTCATCAGTATGGCACATCTGATTCCTACAGTACTGAACCGGTCCGTCCTATATAATCTTCCACTATGAACTGCCCTGACTTGAGTTTTCCAGGGCGAACTTGAACACCATTCCCCCAAAGCCAGATATCGTCGCACCGATCGTAAATCTTTTGTTCAACAGCTGACTCGGATCGAGTGCCGTCAGGCTCGCATTCGTTGAATTGTTGACACTAATTTCAATTGCCCCCATGTTGAAATTTCTGAGGTAGCAAGAAGCCCTCAGGCTCATCATCATATTGGCCTGACACAGAAGTACCCTATACATATAGGATCATACTTGATCAGCCACCCGGGTGATCCAGCCATGAAAGTTGGTCATATACTGCTTTATCGAAAACCCTCTAACACGCTCTTGCAGAACTTCCTTCCGAAACTGAAGGAACACCTCTTACGTCGAATCATTACCCCCTCAGGAGTAGGAGATGAACAGGATATCAATACAATTATTCTCAAGGATGATCGCATATATCAGCATAACATCGCTAGGTTCAACTATACGACCTGCGATGTCCGAAGAGCCCAGGACGTTATCAATCCAAGGACTTCGCATTGCAACATTATGGTGCTCCGCTCCGACAACGATATCGGGTGCCATGGTCACAGGTACAACTACGGTAGGGTACTTGGCGTATACCACGTAAATGTCATATTCATTGGACACAGTATGGTTGACTACACTCCGATACGAATGGAGTTCCTGTGGATCCGCTGGTACGAGCCTATGGATGAAGTCTCCGCCTGGGCAACTTCAACCCTGGATCGAGTGAACTTCCTGCCCCTGAACCACGAGCACTCGTTCGACTTTCTTGATCCTGCCGATGTCCTTCGGGGTTGTCACATCATTTCTCATTTCGCCAGAGGCAAGAGACATGCTGATGGATCAGGTGTGTCAGCATTTGCAGGGGACAAAGATGACTGGCGTGAATACTATGTCAATCGGTAAGTTGGTCGTAATGCAACGTGGATGAGAATATTGATTTCGAGTTTGTCATATTAGGTTCATTGACCACGATATGCTTATGCACTTTCACTTCAGGCTTGGTGTCGGACATGTATATTCTCACTATCGCACCATGCAGGTTGAGCTTCAACGAGAAGACATTAGCTTACAGGCATCGTTTAACCATGATGTGGAAGATCTCACAGACGACGTAGAAGTAGATGAAGAAGAAGGTGACGATGAAAGTGATGATACTGATGATGGGTTGGACATTGAGCAGCCATTCGGTTCTAACGAATCATTACCAGATCAATTCGATGAGATGTATGATGGCGAAGTAGATCTAGACTATGAAAACTAGATCATATCTTAATTTTTACTGCAAATGTAGCTCAAATATTCCGTGACCGTCAAAACCATTAAATCTATTGGGACCGCTTTCACGGTCGACTATTCGAGCCATAACTGAGTCGTTTTCATGTAATACATCAACTACATGGTGATGGCGTATGGATGCGGCCAAATGCGGTCAACCGCGGTCAAAGTATGTAATTGTATTCAAATGAGTATTTTTTCGTCCATTCTCAACGTCTTCATCTGCAGATATCATGGAATCTCAACTTCATGAATGCTATCTCTTCAGCAACCTTTTGCCTAGCATGATGCCTATCTCTGTGCATTTTTTTTTTGACCTTGCTATTTCAACGTCACTATCTCACTCCTCCAGGGCCTCGTCAGCCTAGATGCAGGGTTCGATTTCGTCGGTTATGTTTCCATTGGCAAACAAGAAACAACATTGTTCCCTCTATATGTAAGTTTTCTCTTCTTCTGAGAGTTGCAGGAATGTCTCACTATACACCAGTGTTTATCCATGTCCCTCGGCGCCATAGGTGGCTCATTCTTCAGGCATCATACACTGACCGTCTCTATAGCTTAGACACCAGATCTCCTTGATTGGCTATATTGCGACACCGATCATGCACAATGGGATGGAAATCATGCACCATTCCATGTACGAACCTGGGTCTGTGCCCATATACACCCAGGCACCGTGTTGCACTTGGACTGCGCTTGCTTTCCCACTGACCAGTCTTGTAGCATGCTGAGCCATCTGGGAATTGGATTTGGCTCACCAGGCCTACACGGTAACTGACCACCTTCTTTATATCACATATGACTGGGTGAGCCTGTCTTACAATCTTGAAGTTATCTCGCGTGACAAAATCCTAGCCCACTCCAGGCATTCAGAAAACAATGGCCCTTCTTGCCCAGTATCCTCAGGGACGTGGCCCTATTGACATTGTTGTCACTTTATCCCAGCTCTTTCAGCCCTTTCAAACCTCTATAGTTGCCCCAGAGTTCAACGAATATGAGCCGTTTGAGTCACATCCCATCGTGTCAGAGCCAGAGTCTCCCGTGTTTGGCGAACTACCCCTAGGTCAAACTCTGAATGTCGCTGAGGTACTGGTGGATTCCGGTGTTCCTTCCGTGAACATGACTGGCTGCACAACGAATCTTGATGACGATGTCACGCAGCCTGAAGTGCAAGCAGACGGTACAGATACACTAAGCACCATCCAAGACCGGTATCCCCAGTGGAAAGCGGTCCTCGTTCACTTGCGGCTCGAGATGAGATCTGATGTTGCCCGCGGGATACCCATTAATCTGTTTCTACTCACACAAGCCAATTACTCCGAGGAAATTAAACAGTTCATCAGCGAGCTCTTCCAACGGAGCCTCACTGCGGTTGGGATAGATTCCGCATCTCTGGGTCGCAGTCAGGAGCTCATTCATATAATATTCTCTGGACATCCTGACTCTTTTTAGTTATATCATCCAATGGCCATACCCATATCACAGAAGACGCTATATTGGGGATGGTACGTTTTCTTCATTGATTCCATCTACTTGTCTCACCTAGAATAGGTCGGTAAATGGTTGTCAGCCCTTCTGTCCCTCATGAAATGGGCAGCTACCATCGCAATCACAGACGGCGGACTGATGAACAATTTTACCCTTCAAAACCCATGCCCCTTCGCTCTGCAGAGTGACATGTGTTCCATGTGTGTACAACTGATGAACATGTTTATGTCTCCCAACTCGACCTGTTTCCCGATTGCTGTTAGTTTTCTTCGTTAACTTTGAATGTTAATGTCTTATTTGCCACACAGACTAATGATTTCATGCGGTTCCTTCGCATGAGCATTGCAAAATCACTCGTTCACTATCTGGTATACCGGCCCACTAAATCGGCCAATGTGATCAGGACTATGGCTGATATCAACTGCCCTATCTTCAGGCACGCCTCACATCTACCCCCGGCGACATTAGCGTTTGTAGGGGCCTGCGTAAGTCGCTTTTACGTTATGTGCTTATTTTTTTAAGTGTTCCATTTTGTTAGTGTTACAGCACTCTCCTCTCCTATCTGATAGATACGGTCAAGGCAGGGGGAGTCAGCACTAACTTATCACAATTTCCTTCTGTTAGCGAGGTTTATGACGAACTTCTCAGGACGGCAATGGACCTGTTCGCACAGCAAGGTGACCCAGAACTCCTGATTCTCCTGATTTACCTTGCAGGGTTTTGCAACTTGAAGTGAGTTAACATGCAATTCATTTCTGTGCTGCTGATAAACGGGAATGCAACATCCAGGAAAACTGACGTTGTCAAGATTGCCCGCTGCAAATAAGCCGATCTGAAGTAGAAGTCGCTTTCTATATATTGTTTATATCGGTCAGGTTTGAATGTATCTGGCGTTGTGTTGTGTTACAAATCTTCTTGTGATATTTGAGGGTTAAGATGCTGTCGTGGTAAGCAAAGCACCTCAAGTTTGATTTTGGCAGCTGCAATCCACAGGCATGGTTCATGCGAACGGCCAAGTACATCTACGACCCTTCAGTAAATAACGATACTCAAGCCTACCGACCGCAGACTCGGATGATTTTCTCACAAGGACTTGCACGTTGTCCAATAAACTTCATCACCTAAATTCAAGGTGAGTAGATTCTCGTAATCACTTAGTCATATACTGTGTTTTTTTATAGACCGCTGTCGTACAGCCACCGCTGCCAGAACCGCCGTCGCACAGCCACGGCCTCTATACTCGCTTGTAAGCCCTCAATGATCGCATGTGAGCCTCTTCTTACCCCCCTCCTACTTCGATATGTTAAATATATGTTCAGCTTTGCTTCCTACACCTAACACTCTTTCGACAAGAAACTTGCTTGGTGAGCACACCAAGAACACCCTGAAATCTTGGCTCCAGAAACAGGGGCGTGACATTGTCAGTGCACTCCCATGTTTTCATAATTATTTTATCATAACATAAAGTCCAGCTTCCAGAATCCCTCCTGATCACAGCATCTGTTTTGTTTGGATGGGTCGACCCCCTTGATCTTATCGCCATCCTTCATATAAGCCTCAGAGTGGCCGCAGTGGAGAGACAGCTCCAGCAAGAAGAGTACACTGACGTCACATTCCTTGTGCAAGGAGGGCGTTGCTTGATGGAGGAGAGGAGGTATCGAGCTCAAATGGAGCTTTCGTTATTCAGTAAAGCTATTGAGAATGTGTATGAAGAGCTGAACACCCAATACCACCCACGTAAGGGCATGCTCTCATGACATGATTGTTGACACCGATTTTCCCCCTAGCTACATGGCAAAGGACAATGCTGAGAGAGAACCCTGTCGTGCATGTACAAACACCTCTCTTGGTCCATGGTGATGACTTCTCAGTCAATTTTGTTCGCTCTCAACCGTCAAAAGCTACTCGAGAGAAATGCGAGGCGTGGCTTTCCACGTCATGGCAGTTTCAAATGGATTTCCCGTGAACTCGAGAAATTCCTCAGTTTCACCAACACGTATTAAAGGTTAGTATTACTCTGCTATGGTGGACTTGGTGTTCTTACAACGTGCAGCCCAACAATTCATTTCTTCCCTTGCCTTGCTTGATAAAACCTTGGGTTAGTAGTGTCACATATGGTGACTATGTCAGCGCATCTTGTGCAGTCACGAAGCCCATCCGCCTCGACAACCCCAACGACTTCAAAACAAAGGAGGACAAACCGCTGGATGTGCTCAAGTCGGATTTTCACATTCTGCAGCTGATGAAACGACGAGCACAGTCCGAAGTAGACATGTTCTCTGAAGCCATTGCACGCACTGCTGGGATTGGGTGTACTAATGATGGTGGGTTTGCAGTCTTTGCTTTTGTTATCTCACTGACGTGACTGTAGGCACATGCACATCTTCTGGAAGTGCAACAACTTATGAATCACGCCTACCTAGCAACTTTTCTGATAATCGGTCTGATGATTGGTTTGACGATTGGTTCGATGGCTCTATATCTTCCAATGCTTCTGTGCTCACATGACACCATTGTTGTAGCTGTATCCTTCCTTGAAGGACATGCATGGCTGTTGTAATGATATTCCATATTATGCCGTTTGCACGTTTGACTTTATCTTTATTTATGTTGTGTTGCCCCTATCATTATCACTTTGGTTACCAATTTTTATCTGCTTAGTGTCCATATTCCAGGCAGTTAAGCTGAGGTGTGCGTAGGTAGATGTTTTACACCAAACCTAACCCTAGGCGAACCGCTCAGACAAAACCTTCCAGCAAGTTCAAGTTCGGGGTATACCTCTGAGCGTCTCAATTACATCATCCTTTATCCAGGATGCATCGCGTAGACCCTGCCATCAGCACCACCCATCAAATAAGGGCATGGAAGACCGAACTTGGACTTTGAATGATGTCTTTCGTGGGATGTACTGGATTGGAGGTATATTCAAGGTACGAGTGTTCCTCTCATTTATTGCTGTCATAATCAATAATCAATGTACAACACCACTTGTCAGGTCTTTTGTGATACTGCACAACTCATGGGTCCTATCGTCCTTGGGTAAATAGCAACCTCTGTGTTTGGTTGTGGTGGCCTCTGATGCCTGTCCTCCCCCGGCAGCAAATCATTCTCTGCGCAGGAGCATTCCGCTGCATTCGTTGCAGGAACACCTGGCCCTAATGTCGGTCGTGGGATTGCCATGGCCTTTGGGCTCTTTGGGCTCACTGTGATGGCCAGCATCTGCACCCACCAGGTTTGTAAAACTTTATAAATTACACTCGGCTCACCTAATGTTGCTAAGTTCTTTTGACATTCGATGGCAACAGGGGTCCTGGCCAGAGCCGCGCCATTTGGCAGTCGCATTGGTTATTGTCCACAGACCGCATGGATTCAGAATGCTACATTGGTCAGCATGGTTTCTGCCCTAACTTCAAGGGCAAGTACATCTAATATCTTACCCTAGCGTGATAATATCACTTTTGGCCAACCATTCGAGAAGGATAGATATTGGCGCATTATTGAAACTGCTTGTCTACTTCCAAACCTCCAACTGCTCCCAGATGGGGATTTAACTGAGGTATGTGGGTGAATCCAATTTGATATCGCCGCTTATATTATATTTCAGATTGAAGAAAAGGGAATCAACCTCAGCGGAGGCCAAAAGCAGAGAGTGAGTTCATGGCTTGTATCTGTTAAGGATTGATGTTTATCTTTCACCCAGGTAAACATTGCTCGTGCTCTGTACTTTGAACCTGAAATTGTTATATTTGATGACCCGCTCTCGGCAGGTGAGCTATGTCACTTATTTCATGTCTATCATATTGGAGAACACCTTCAGTCGATGCTAATGTTGGAAAGTCCTTATTCCAAGATGCTATCGTGGGTGCCCTGCGAAATCGTGGTGTTACTGTCATTCTGGTCACGCATGTGATCCATTTCCTCTCTCAAGTAGATTACATCTATACCCTGAATGGTGTTTTCATGGTGAGTGGGACCTATGAGGATCTGGTCTCTCGCGGTGGTGATTTTGCACGTTTCGACCTAGAGTTCAGTGGCCATGCCTCGGAGGGGGAAGATGAAACCCAGGAAGAGGAAGTCATTCCGCAGACACATATTACCATCGAGGATGTGAAGTTGAAGTCAAAAAGAGCCAAAAAGCAGGCTACTGGGAGTGGTGAACTTGAAGGTCGCTTGATCGTCAAAGAGAAGCGGTCGACAGGCTCCGTGTCCTGGAAAGGTGCGATCAAGTTCATCTGAGATGTTTCCCTTGATTGAAACAGTTTTGAAGCTTCATCTTAACCATTTGATTGATATGTCTAGGTAAGTCTACTCACATGTTGACTTGGTATATGCTGATGATGCCTTCCACATTTAGTGCCTCATATGACAGTCTTCAGATGTCGTTGGATAGGTTAGTATTCAATCTCGAGTCAGATGATGCGCTCCATCTCATAATTTTTTTAGCGGGACTATCCTTTCGTGTTCTCAACCTGGAATCCACAATGAAGCCATCGCTAACACGGTCTCGGAAGACGCCCAAGAGTTATCTTATTTTGAAGATGTGTCCGCCATCCGGGCTGAGTATGTAGTTCTACCTCAATCCAAACATCGATTCAACTGACGGCCTGTGGCAGATGGGCTCGGGCCTGCGAGGAAGATGAATACCTAAAGGTGTATCACTGGTACGTGCCACCCCAACTGAGTGTCCACCATTGCTCATTCATTTTTCCAGGTCTTCAGCATCTTTACCGGATGTTCCAAATACTCAGATGTCGTTTCCAACGTTGAACCAGTTCACCGCTCCGGTGGCTGGTCTCCCTCAATTTCCCCCATTCGATCCGAGCCAACACTATTCTCCGCAGCCCTCTTCCGTCCCTCGAGCATCGCTGGAAGTCCCCGCATGGTCCCAGTATGGCTATGATGGTGGTTCATATGCAAATGGACCTAATCTTGCTCAAAATTACTTTCCCACTGTCGTCGACCTAGAGCTTTGGGCAGCGGGGGATCCCCGCGCATATGCCCCCGACCTCTGTTCTCTCAAGAGCAAAATGTGCATTTACAGGCTGAAGTGTCTATCCCCTCGACAACGGATTATACCGGCAATGCATACGCTAGTGCCATCATGGACACGATGTCGGATACTGAAACTTTTGCCGTCCACATCTGACTCTGACGCGACAATGTGTCTGAGTGATGACAACAGCTTGGAGCCATCTTCCTCCGCTCCCAATGAGCAGTACACGCTAGTTTGGTGGGAGACCAAGTCAGTATCTTTTTATTGACTTTTTTATTTCTCTTCTAAATCCTGGCGCAGCAAATTCAACTGACCAAACTCGTTCTATCAGACGCTGTATGGCTGCCTAGGGGTTGCTCAAGCAATCTTCGTATGCTTGCTGTAAGTCAGTTCCTATCGCTGATGGCGGCACGCTCGCTCAACACAACTTGCTGTAGTGGTGCTGGAATGGATTTCATTTCATATTATGCATCTCAAAGCCTGCACCACAAGTCCATATGCAATGTCTTTCATGCGTCTATGTCCTTTTTTGACACTACAGTGAGTGATTGTATATGGAAGCGCTAAAAACAATGCTTATTGTGTTCCTGTAGCCTATGGGCTGAATCCTGGGCATTTTTGGCGAAGATATCAATGGTCAGTATCTCATTTATTTTTGCTATTTTGTACTTGCTGAAACTTTTCATCCAGGTATTGATAATAAACTACCACGTGAGTCATATATCACTGCATGCTGAGATGTCACTTATCCATGATCCAGAATCGACGAGATTGCGTACGTTAGTTGCACGCTTCATTTATAGAAACTAACTGGAGATCCAGTTGTCATCATGCTGTCCAGCGTGGTTGGCTCTATTGTCATCGTTTCTGTCCGTACTTTGGTCAGCATATTGATATCATCTGCAAGGATGTGGCTCATGCTTGACTAGTTATTGCTGTGTTCTTCATTGCTATCGGTTACGGCTTCTTTGCCGCCTTTTATCGAGCTGGTGCTCGCAAAGTCAAACGTCTGGGTTTGTTATTGTATTTTTGACGTGAAAGCCTCCGTTGAAGTTGGTCATCAGACTCTATGCTTCGCTCTCTTTTGTATGCCCACTTTTCGGAGACCTTAACAGGACTGCCCACAATCTGCAGCTACGGAGAAATGAAGCGGATTATTGCTGCCAATAGATACTATATTGATCTGGAGGACAGAGCTCTGTTACTCATGGTCATGAACCAGAGGCAAGTAACCTTCAAGTTATGCATATCTTGGCGGTCATTGTTCATCACCTTCCCTCAGATGGCTTGCAATAAGATTGGACTTCATGGGAGCCATATTAGTCTTCCTTGTAGGCGTCTACCCAATGACAGATACCTCGTGCTTACTCAATATGATCTCAATAGGTTGCTCTTCTCGCGATGATCGACGTCTCCGGGATAAATGCCGCTCAGATAGGGTTGGTTTTGACATATACCAGTGGGTCTCCCAATGTCGCCACTACAGTCTGTATGATCGATTAACCTCTGTCACAGCCTCGCTGTCGCAAATGTGTAGTCCGGTAACCAGACAGACAGCAGATGTTGAGATCTCTGCTCAGTCTGGCTCGTGTGTTGGTGAAAGACAACAGAGTCATTGTGCTTGATGAAGCCACGTTAGTCATGTGCTCTTACAAGCTGGACGCGTTACTAACAAACTCAAAATTATTCCTAGATGTCTTGATTGCATGCTCCTACCTCCCGCCGTGCATGATCCTCGCAATACTTTGTTATTTATCATCCTCTCCCATCGTCTCCTTGCCTATTGCCTCCTCACCTATTGCCCCCTCGCCTTCCACATCTTCCCCCTCCCTCATCCTCACACTAGATCGCGCACATCGAGTTAATAAAAATTAAATTATGGACTATTAGTAGTACGCACCGTACATATCGAAAACTAATCACCACCTGCTGATACATTTGTACTTGCTTGCCCCTCTGCTTCAAGTTTGGGATTCGAGAAAGACGCTAAGATGAAACAGTGAGTAACGCCAACACAAAACACTAAGTGACTTACAGCGTTCAGCTGACCCATAGCTCTCAGGTATGTTATTGATTTTTGTATAAGTTAAAGTACAAAGGAAAGAGCTGATTCTTAAATAGTATATATTCATTCCCCGAAATGCTCGTCTTCACGCAAGTTCCACGCGGCACCTTCAGCAATGACTTGGTTTCGGCACAAGGTCTTTGAGGAGGACGTTGGCAGGGTAAAAGGTCATTTTGGACCCATTAACACGTCAGTTCCCCCAGTTTTATTTTTTCAATGATTTTTATTTGACTACTACCAGTGTGGATCTCTCTCCATCTGGTGACTAGAGTGAGAGCTCGCGATTTGCCTACTCTGCTTGTCTGCTTGGTTTTTTCTCGCATTCTCTCGGATTTCGACTCAGTCTCTCGTCCCTTATGTCTACAGTATCAGCATTAATTGTTTTGCCTCTCGACTTTAATACAATTCGGCTCGTTTATGCACACATTCTACTAAGTAAATTGCTTCGTTTGGTTTGATTGCCTTTCGCCGCACTCACATTCTGAGTTTTCTCCGTTTTTGAAAATTTCGGCCTTGACAAGTATTCATTTTACAATGTTCCATTTCACACTCAGAACCATGCACTTCCGCTCACATCGCACCAGCACCAGCACCTTCACATCCGGCAGTAATCGCTGCACCTCCCGCATCAGCCACAGTGGACGCTGTACCTCTCATGCGCACACCTCAGCCACAACCACCACCAAGAATAGCGCCCACCACGCCCACCCACTTCCAGCAAGCCCCAGTGCCAAGCGCACACGTCCGGTACACGCCAACAAGTGTTGACGCGACTCAGACGCGCGCGGACGACAAATGGGAGCAAGGAGAAGGAGAATGGAGCAGTTGGGAAGAGGAAGTGGACAAATGGACAGAAGGCAGGAAGAAATGGGGAAGTTGGAAGCAGGAAACAGTTTGCAGGACATGGTGAGCCCACAGACACGTGCCAGCGCGCACCTACCAGTGACACCAAACCCAGCGCAACTCTCTGCACACATTCCAACCGGCAGGAAGTACCCAGTACCACGGGCACGCCATTCATGCACACCACATCACTGGTGCTTATTCTTGCACACCCATCATTTGCGCCACCATCTCCATCACTCGCACCTCACATAGCTTGGACTATGCAGCCCATGCTGCCACCATCAACCGCAGCCCTCACTTCGCCATTCGCAACCGCTACAGCAACCGCATTCATCTCAACGTGCCCCACACCATCAGCACGTGTTTGTGTGCCACTAGCAACGCCCATACCACTCGCACCCCCCATACCACTCGCCCCTCCCCCTGTCCATCGCCAGCACACGTCATCTCCGAGTGTTCAACCCAATGATACGCTGGCAAGTGCCAACGATGAAGTGATGTGATCGTGCGGACTCGATGAATTGTGGGACAGTGAGAGGACTGGAGAGAAGTTGGGAGGACAAGGAGGATGGAAAGAGCAGAAGGGAGAGAGAGAAGGGAGAGAGAAGGAGAAGGATTAGAGCACCTTGTGACTTGTCATCCCAGTCTGTGAGTGTATTGGTCCTCCTTTGAGCTCGAGCCGTGCTGATTGAAGTTGTTGCCCACTGTTCGCAGCCTGTGAGTTGTGTCGATCGTCCTTCGAGTTCGAGCCATGCTGATCGTTGCCCACTGTTTGCAGTTGGTGAGTGTAGGATCATTTTTTCATATTTTTAGAATTGCTAGTTTAATATTTATATGTACTATTACCTGCGGGGAAACCCTGCATGGGTGCGGGTAGGAGTGCGAGCTCGTTGTACAAAAACCCATACCCTTCATGCGGGTGTGGGTGCAGGCGAGGTTTCCGACACCCAGGGTTTACCCAGGTGGATATTAATACATACCGATAGCAGAGGTACTTTGTATCATTGCCATTTTGTTGTCCTGTGATTTGTTCTATCCCGGCCTATGTGCACCACTTTGAACAATATAATCAGATTGCCTGCATTTTTTAAATTTTTGTAGACTTTGACAAATTCTCGCCCATCCGCAAAGGGACTTGGAGTATTTTAGAGTATTTTAATGATTTGAGACAATTTTTGTATATTAAAAGGCAAGTCAAAATGAGATGCCCCTGTCATAGCTATACATTCTCTAGTATATTTGTTGCATATTTGCAAAATGCATATCAAGATTATGTGACCCTGACACAGCCATATATCATTTCGTATACTTGCTTGATACTTGTAAAAGGCACATCAAAATGAGATGCCCCTGTCATAGCTATACATTCTCTAGTATATTTATTTTGTAAAAGGCACATCAAAATGAGATCCCCCAGTCATAGCTATACATTCTCTCGCATATTTGCTGCATACTTGCAAGACTTATATCAAGATTACGTGACCCCTACACAGTCATATATTCTTTCATATACTTGTTTGGTACTTGTAAAAGGCAAGTCAAAATGAGATGCCCCTGTCATAGCTATTTATTTTCTCCTATATTTGCTGCATACTTGCAAGACTTGTATCAAGATTATGTGACTCCGACACAGTCATATATTCTTTTGTATACTTGCTTGGTACTTGTAAAAGGCAAGTCAAAATGAGATGCCCTAGTCATAGCTATATATTCTCTGATATATTTGCTGCATACTTGCAAAATGCATATCAAGATTATGTGACCCTGACACAGTCATATATTCTTTCATATACTTGCTTGATACTTGTAAAAGGCACATCAAAATGAGATGCCCCTGTCATAGCTATACATTCTCTCATATATTTGTTGCATACTTGCAAGACATGTATCAAGATTATATATCCTTGGCATAATCATATATTTTTTCATACACATGTTGAGCAAAGATAATAATGTATAATTCTAAAGCTAGATGTATCATAATGGGTTTCATTTGTCAGCTCTACCTGGTCATATCAATTCCAGGTTGATTTCCTGATGTGTGGATGTCCAGCAATCAGTAGATTGCAACAACATCCTCACTGAGCTCTGTCACTCTGTCCTGTGCTTCTTCATATGCAACAATGAGCCTCTGGTTCACCTTCAACACGCCTGCCGGAAAATGGTTGTGTGTGCCAGAGAGATTATTCATGACCATATGCTGTGCATCCTCATTCCCTGTTGCAAATATATGTAAGGTATGATCATTGTACAAGTCAACATGACTTACGCTGATGAGTTCCGATGCTGTTCAGTCGCTGGATGGCATGATGCATCAACAGACCAGCCTCCTGAAAAGTGTTGAGTTGGGACACCATATGTGAAGATTCTGTGCAAGCTGCACAATTAGCACAATATGCAGCATATCTGAAAACACTCACATCCAGTGTCCAATGTCAGGTCGATGACTTCCAGTATCTCTATACTCATCAGCTCATATATTTTTTTGCTTTCTGATCTATGAGCTGTAATGCTATTAGCGACAAATATAGCATATGAGATATAACTTACATGCAGATGATGATGTTAGGTCAATTATATTGAGCCCATACATTGGTGTCAGACTGTCCATCCAGTGACCCATTTGTTTGCTTGAAGGGTCATGCCTGGATACAACATCCAGGTTGTTGGTATCAACATTTCCCCATCTGCAGTCATAAGGGTCCTCGATATTTGCAACCTCGGACATATGGTTGCCATCCTCTTCGTCCTCCCATCCATAATCATAAAGGTCCTCCATTGCAATACTGGAGATGGATGCTGTGGCATCATGTTGCTGATCCCCTGATCCACAGTTGTATGGATATTCTTCTTTGTCGCCAAGAGTCATCAATGAGGCTGTGGGTTGGATCTCTATAACATCCTCCCATCCGCAGTCGTAGGCATCTTATTCCTCACCCATCAGCAGACCCTGTGCTGGACCTTCCTTCTTCGAATCACCCTCCCATCCAAAGTCTTGGGAAAAGTCCTTCACTCCCAGTGTTTCAACGTCCATGTGATCCTCCCATCTGCAGTCATACAGATCTGCTTGCTCTGCTGGGAACAAGCCCGGAGCGATATATTCAGCAGCAGAATTTATCTCCCAACCGCAGTCATAAGGGTCCATTGTCGGTGATCCGGCGATGTCATCCGCAGCTATGCCACTGATTAGTTCCATCCAAGCTGGATACATAGGTACTCACATTTATCTGGCCACTCATCATCGCACATGGATCAATCTATGGAACCGCCATTCTCCTGTATGCACAGGCCTGGGGTGATATATTCAGCAGCAGAACTTTTCTCCCAACCACAGTCATAAGGGTCTGTTGTCAATCCGGTGATGTCATCTGCAGCTAGGCTGCCAATTAGTTCCATCCAAGCTGGATACAAAGGTACTCACATTTATCCGGCCGCTCATCATTGCACATGGATATCTTCCAAAATCATGTTAGAATATATCCAGGATGTGACAAACCTGCTAGCATGCTTGTAACTTCATCAAATTCTCCTAAGAAGCACATGTCATATCCTGCATTGTAAGGTTAGCTTAGCGATACAAGTCAGGCCACAATTAACATACTTATGTCCCTGTTTGTGATGGGATCGTTTGTCCACTCTTGGCTTAACTGTACCTCGTCAGCCAATTTATATTCCACATTATGAATTTTTAGCAATCCCAGATCAGAAGCTTCAAGAGCTGACTTACATTTGAACCTTATATAAGGTTCCACTCCAATCAGTCCCTTAAACCTTGGAATCCATGAGTCCAACGGTGTGTATCCACTCCACCAGGCAAGTGGCCCTTCAACTTTGTGTTTTGCTATCTCCGGAGAGTTGCTGCACATGGATCTGTGAGAGTCATAGGAATTGTCATAGCTGCTGTAAGAAGTAGCACTGGTGACCAAGTCATGATCATCCGAATATACCAAAGTAGCAAAGCAAACACATTTTCCAAACATAACTGTTCTGTGTACAATAAGGAGATCAGGGAAGGACTACAATGTGCCAAGATATACTAACTTAGATATGTGGATCACCTGACTGTGCCACTGTGGCAGTGGAATGTGTGGGACAATGATCACAGAAGAAGTTGTATCACGTGACCAAGTTGTTAACAGGTCCATAGCACCGTGCTTCGACAATGGCCACACATTCTCGGAAACACCCATAACTGAGGCATCGGTATAAATCCCGAGACTTATTTAAAAATGATTGAAGTTGTCTTTCTTTGTGTATACCATCACCCATTGCTCACTAAATTCTATAGACTGTTTTGACACCTTCAGAAATTGCAAACAATGCTCTCCAGGCTACACTTGAGACTGTACAATCGCTGATGAAGCGTTGTTTGAAATTAAAGGAAAGTGATCCAGGAATGCTGATGTTATCAGATGAGATCACCAGACGCCTGGTGAGTTTCGCTCCACCAGATCTGTACTGTATTTTGGATAACTAACTCAATTTGGTGCAGGCAAAAGATTTGAAGCTTTATGGGGGGAGCGCTACATCGTTCTCCCCTCAGCTGCTATCATGTGCTGCTGTAGTACAGGAGCACTCCAAGGCCAGCATCTTTGTGTCATTGCCCAACTGGAAGACTGTCATAGATGACGACCCATGCATTAAGAGTCCCCCGCGGTTCCACAAGACCGTGGACTACTGCCCCTCCACCTTTGCTGAACCCTAACTGACCACAGTGACGGCGGACTCCACAGTAAAGACTCTTGCTGAATCAATTAGACCCCCTCGGCTCGGCTCATGGAAGGCAATGCAACCAGTTCCATCAGCTGGTAATGAAGTGCTACCAAAAATGCCCAGGTCACAAACTCTGGAGGTTCAAGTTACAGAACTAATGGGATCAGACATCCGAAGCAATGCCATCCCCCCATTGGTATTCCAGCCGCCAACCTGCCTGCCACATTTCATTGCCCCTGTGATGGTGAGACATGGTATCCATGCAGCTGGAAGCATGAAGACAGAGACAACCGCACAGCCCAGGAAGACAAAAAGGAAAGCAGAAGAGAGCGAAAATGACAGCAAAGAAGCAGAGGTAGTTCATGGACACACACCAACTCCTATTTCCCAGAAGCTGATTCGCAAATGAAAGAAGAAGTTTATGTTGGATGAAGTAGATGACGGGAACACTGGCACCACCCATGTTGAGGTTACTCTGACAGTATATATTTGTTCATTGCTCACGAGGAATTGATATAGCACAAGATGGTGTCGGTAAAGACATTCAATGCTGTGGCTCCTGATGCCATATTAGCCGATACGTCTGCAACAGAATTGGTGAACAACAAAGGTTTTTGGGATGAAAAAACTAGGGTAAGTCATCTCTGCCTCAGTGGTTCCGGGTCTTACTTGCACCTTTCTAGCCTGTCGGATGGGGTTTGGATTCCAACATCGCCACAATGGTGGAGGTAGGCAAGCAAGCAAATGTATGCTGTCAATATTAGCTTAATGCATGGTCCAGCTTTCCATGTGCTACCACCCACGGCAATGTGACAAATGTGTCAAGTTGAAGGTTCCTTGCATAGTTCTCCCAGACAAGAAGCCTGGATGCATCAGACTATTTTGTGCAAACTGTGATGAGATGAAGATCGCCTGCACAATTGACAGCGCTGGTGTCAGGCAGAGGTTGCAAGTAAAGGCAAAGGAAGCTGTTGGTGAACTGAAAATCAATCGTCTTTCCAAATGCCCTAGGTCATGTGCGAAAAAGCCACACCCTGCCGCCAAAAATCTGGCAAAATCTGCTCCAGCCAAGATCATGAAACCAGCCACTTGTTCCTCCTCTTGTGTGGCTCAGACTGTTACTGTGGACGACCCGCCAACACTTTGGTCACCCCATTTTGGACACCTCTTAGGTTGATTGCTACCTATAGAGGTTTTCACCTAAGAGGTACTTTTCTGGTGGTCTACCCAATGTTCTGTGGTCTTTCCCTGTTATTGTTAGGGACCAAAGACCATTGGGAATATGTTGTGGGAGTACCATATGATGATTTGGACCACTTGAATTCCCTATAATGTAGGGGTGTCTGGGGTCTTCAAATGCTGATTTTTTTGGCAAATTTCCCTACCTTTGTGGATTCCATCTGTGACCTGTGCCCTGCCTCCTAGACCCCCTCATAAATATAATGAATCTTTTTTAATATAATTAAACAATATATCAAAATTGTATACTTTGTCCAGACAACCTACAGTCATCTCCAACATGCCAGGCGCATAACCCACAACAGATTTCATTATATACCCACTGGACCCACTTACATCCTCTGGAAAACTGTCCTATGCCCAGTCCAGTTCCACTTAACACTACTGGTACGTACACTTCAAACCACACACATGTTGGTTCATCACACCCACTCCTTAATGCTCACTCCACTTGCATCTTGGTAGGGGGCTCCTCCCTGTTTAACCACATTAGCTGCAGTACCTCATGGCCGTTTACATACTATTGGACCCAATATTGTTACTACAACCTTTGTCTATAGTACTCCAGACTTTCACATAGATAGATGAATAGGGATGACATACCACAGCATTGCAAAAATGATAAATGGGCGAGACCACAAGCTTAATGGGAAGGACCGTAGGTGTGATGTGCTTGCAATAGGGAAGACCATAAGCTTAATGGGACAGACCATAGGTGTAATATGCATGCTATAGGGAAGACCATACACTTAATGGGAAGGACCATAGGTCTAATATCCATGCTATAGGAAAGACCACAAGCTTATTGGGACGGACCATAGGTCTAATATCCATGCTATAGGGAAGACCACAAGCTTATTGGGACGGACCATAGGTGTACTATTCATGCTATAGGGAAGACCACAGGCTTAATGGGACGGACCATAGGTGTAATGTGCATGCAATAGGGAGGACCGTAGGCTTAATGGGTCGGACCATAGATGTAATATGCATACTATAGGGAAGACCACAGGCTTAATGAGACAGACCATAGGTGTAATATGCATGCTATAGGGAAGACCACAGGCTTAATAGGACAGACCATAGGTGTAATATGCATGCTATAGGGAAGACCGCAAGTGTATTGGAACGGACCATAGGTGTAATATGCATGCTATAGGGAAGACCACAAGCGTATTGGGATGGACCATAGGTGTACTATTCATGCTATAGGGAAGACCACAGGCTCATTGGGATGGACCATAGGTGTAATATGCATGCTATAGGGAAGACCATAGGCTCATTGGGACGGACCATAGGTGTACTATTCATGCTATAGGGAAGACCACAGGCTCATTGGGAAGGACCATAGGTGTAATATGCCTGCTACAGGGAAGACCACAGGCTCATTGGGACAGACCATAGGTATACTATTCATGCTATAGGGAAGACCACACACCACCCCTCCCCCCCTTTCAACAGACTAATCTGATTAGAATTACTCCATTTCTACTAGGAAGACACCATGTCCGATTCTTCCTGAAGAACATGTATGTATGTCACTCAGCTACTACCTTCATTTTCTCTCAATTAATGAATACATATGTAGATGTAGCTCAAAAGTACTTCATTGGTTGCTACTAGTGACTAGTTATGTCTCAGCTCTCGCATACTTCCAGGTCCTTTCAGCAATCAAACACTCTTCATTCTTTGCTCCATCCGTCCCTTCAACACTTTGTCCAGCCCATGCATTACTGCGTGATGGTGAGTGGGTTGGCATTGATGAAGACTGGTATTTGAAACACGTCAAAACAGCTGAGTCATGTCCATTGGAATTACAACAATTAATATTTTCATTAGATCCAGCTCAGTCTTCAGCTACAGTCAGTGTTTGTCCAATTTGTTTTTGTTCTCATGGTTGTGACACGTTCATTGCCAGGTCACTGCAGACTTCACACCTGTCGACCTCGTATCCTTATCACAATCTATTGATAATATCACGCACCATATAGTTCACGGCCTCTCTACCCCATTGGGCAAGATATACACGTCGCTTTGCCTTCTTGCAAGAGAAGCAGCTAGGCAGACACAGACCCATAGAAGTGATTCAAAAGTATGAAGCTGAAAGTAGAGAAGCATGAGAGAGCGGAGTCACAAGACATAGACACCATTGATATTGATCTTTATAATGTTGCACGAGTGCAGAAGACCGTGCACATGAGGAAAAACCACACACAGTAATATTCTTCGATATCAGGTAAGTCTAGACAATTGTGATCAGCATGTAAGATAGAGGACAAAACATGAGTCAGGATTACAAAAGCATGTTTGCATATGCATAAGAATTTTAACATGAGTCATTGGCATGCAATAAGCGAGGTAAGTCATAGGCAAGTAGTAGCATAAGTCACAACAAGTATCATAGTCGAGATCAGACAATATGACAGGTGGTTATCAAAGCTGTAAACATCAGTTATACTCAAATTCATCCTCATCTACAAGAGGAAGTAAACGGTGATCCAGGACATGAGCAGGCTGAAGACGTGAGACATATTGGCGCGAAGATGGAGAGCCCTCAGAGTATGGCACGACTGCTGAACGAGATGGCAAGTGCGTAGTGTTTTGGTTTGGGGCAGGTCCCATGCGTGCCTTTGATGAGGCACGAACATATGGCTTAGGATGACTAGGGAATAGACAACAATTAACACAGTAAGATTGGCAACACAGCAACGACATACTTGTGACCCTTGGTGGACCTCATACCCATGCTTTCCCTGTCCTGCAATGTGAAAGTATGTGAGAAATAAAGACAAAGATATAATGCAAAAATACGTACATGGGTCCTGCTCCGATATCTTGCAGCCACCATTCCTGTTTCAATGTCGTCGGCCTCCCTTGCACTTTCATAATCATCACGAGTCCATTTCCTAGTCTCAGAGGCCATTAAGCAGCAGATATCTTTACGTATGCAGTTGTACTGGTATCGTCCTGCTGCTACATTCGAACCTTGAGGGATTGCATGAGGAGATGACAGTGGTGGGGATGACGGTGGGAGATCGTCGTCGAACTCATCTGAGTGAATGCTGTGATCCAGGAGTTCATCATGGTCAGTGTGAATAGGGACAGGTGGAATCGAGCGTGAAGCCCTATGTTGTGAGCGCGAAGCCCCATGTTGTGAGCGCGAAGCCCCATGTTGTGAGCACGAAGCCCCAGAGTTGGAGTGCGGAGCCCGATAGTCGGAGCGCAGAGCTGCGGGGTACAAGCGTGAAGCTTCCTGGTGAGAGCGCAAAGCTCCAATAGAGCATGAAGTCCCTGTGTTTAAATGCTCAGTAACATGGGGAGGGAGGTCCTTGATAAATTTCTCCGACTCTTCCAGACGACGTAAAATGACGCCATCTGTGTCGATAACAAGAGGGATTGAGTACACCTCGTGAGAGTATCCAGCGAAGTCTGATAGCTGACCTGTGATGCAAAAAAATGTTGGTTTATGTAGGGTACAGACTACCTGAATATGCACGAGGAGTCCACCCCTTGATAGATAAGATGACATCGGGCTCCTGCACAACCGCGCCGCGAGTTCTGCGATTCTCGTTGGACTTCTTCAATTTACCTTTCCGCTTTGTCATCGTGGCTTTCTCTGCATTGTCCTCGTCCTCATCTTGGCCCAACTCAGCCTCATACATGTCGCCGAGATGCTTCCTGAGATATGGACCCACTAAGGTGTGTAATTGACTCGCAGACAGCGATTTGAGATCAAAATCAGGGCCAGGGGGTGGAACTCCTGCTGGCCAGTCATGAATGCAAAGTTGCGTAGAGTAAAGGATGTCAAGCATCCTCATCCACCTGTTGTTCGATGTTTTAGAGGGATGACCAGCATCAGCTACCGAAAGCATGTGAGTACACCGACAGCGGAATCTAATAAGACACAAACCAAATGCTTCACTGATGATTAAAGGCGCCACCATGCGATTTCTATCCCTGGCAGATTTGCCATTGCGCAAGAGGGGAGCATTTGGGACTGCGACAGGCAGTGGGAGAAAACTGAGACTCTTGCCTTCTGCTTGAGCAGCCTCCAAGTCCTTGTATCTGTAACACATCCCATGTATATTAGTATCACATCCCCTCGAAGAAAAAGACAAAAAAACACACTTTAGGATTGTAGTAAGCTCATCTATCAAGTGCTTTACATCTACTTGTCGAGCGTCAATGAGAGCCCACAAAAAAGCCAGAGGCCTGCCGACTAGATTCCTCATCTCCTGGATAAATGGTGATACCAGCGATATGGATTCCGTGGGTGTGGTACCAATATGAAGCCTTCCAAATATTTAGTCATTGATCAAGTCACTGAAGAACACTTACCGATTTTGCAAACACTTCATGAACTGCTGTCATGAGACTGGATGACTCCCGTGATGAAAGATCCTCAGGGCTGGCAACCACGCTATCCCAATGGTGTTGGATTTTCTTCCATAGGGATGCGTGGTTAGGGTCTTTGTATGGGTGGGCATGATAGTGCGCATTTTGCTTGACTTTCCATGATGCCAAGTTTGCTGGAAGGTCATTAATAAACACCGAAACAGTCATGAATACAATAACTTACGTTCTTTGGATGGAGGTAGTACAGTCGGGAACCAGGCTTGATGCTGGTTCCAGGCAGACTCTTTGCAAGTTGCCTTCGTCGCTAGTCCTGCCTCAATAAGAATCACCCTCCGGTGTTTCCCAAACTCTTTTCCAATTGCAGTTGCTTCAGCCATAACTCTCTTGCCAAATTCTTCCGTTTTCAAAACCCCTTCTTTGGACAGTCTTCCTGCTTTATGTGTGGCCCCATCCCCATCTTCAGACATCTGATCTTCATCACAGCCCTCGGGATCGGCATCGGCATTGTCACCATGGTTGTCTGCCACCGCTCGTCCCTTCTGCTTGTCATTCGCAGACAGTCTGAATGGCCTCGCAGGATCATTAGTGCGTTCTTCTTTCTTTCGCTTCTCTTTGAGTTCTGCCCAGTCGCTGTCAGAGTCAGAGCTCTCTGTGGGATCACTCTCATGACCAGGAGCATACGATTTGTGGGCACCAGATCTACACGGGTGAATGGTCATGGATGCAACTGCAGCAAGACACATTAGTTGCATACTAATATATATATATAGCAAAATTTAAATTTACCTGCAGTCTTCTCCTGTTTATTCGTCGCTGCAATACCATCACATTCACCGTCGGATGGAACTACAATAAAGCATGTTAGTTGTATACCACGAGACATGCCACAAAACTTACCTGCATCTCTCTCCCATTCGTTCATCATAGTAGTGCCACCACATTCACTGTCAGATAGACCTGCAATAAAATATGTTCGTTGTATACTATGACATGTGTAGCAAAACTTACCTGCATCTCTCTCCCCTTCGTTTGTCTCCCTTTCGTTTGTCTTAGTAGTGCCGCCACATTCACCGTCAGATAGACCTGCAATAAAATATGTTTGTTGTATACTATGATATGTGTAGCAAAGCTTACCTGTGTCTCTCTCCCCTTCGTTTGTCGCTGCAACACCACCACATTCGCCATCGGATCTCTCCCCTTCGTCTGTCGCTGCAGCACCACCACATTCACCGTCGGATCTCTCCCCTTTGTTTGTCGCTGTAGCACCACCACATTCACCGTTGGATAGAACTGTCACGCAACATATTAGTTATTTACTACAGAATGTTTAGTAGTACTTACGTGCAGTCTGCTCTCTGTGGTTCGTCGCTGCAGCAGGTCAACATTTAAATACATCCTGCATGGGAGCAACACACATACCTGAATCCTCATTGGCAGCATTACTAGTACCATCTTCCTCAAGACCAGCTGTACAACAAAATTTAATGAGAGTTGATAGCGAGTAAAAGACCGAGAGAAAACTTACCTGATGGCACATCGCCATCTGCGCCATTTGTGGACCCATTGGTGGTGTCAGACAACTGGACCTCGGGACCTTTGTTCACATCACTGCACTTCTTCCTGCCAAGTGACAAGCATTTGCTGAAGTTAGAGAAGAAAATATCTTCTTCAGCAGATGATGTCATGGGATCAGAACGTTCGGACCTTGGAAGAGGGCAAGCCTTGGGTCGAGGATGCGGCTGATGTTGATTTAGTAGATAATAAAATGACAACTATAAGCTTACACGGTCTTGGTTTTGGGTATTCATGACAGACCTCGGGCCAGCACGAGAGCGAGTTTGCTTTCGCGTAGTATGTGTAGAGGCCTTTAGCAATCAGCAGTGGTTGCAGTGCGAACAATAGGTAACACATTACCTGGTTGTCATCAGCATCAGATTCGGCAGCCTTTTGGTCCTTGGACGCGTAAGTGCGAACATAGTCAGGCGGTGGTGGGGCTTTAGTCCAACACCCTGAATGGGTAACAAGAGGCATTTGAGACTTCTTCCAACGATCACGAAGATACGAGGAAGATCAGTTGAAGAACATGAAGTTGCCTCAACAGTTTTGTTTCACCGACATGAAGTCAGGTAAAGATACGAAAAGCGTGAAAAAGTTGTGAATGTTAGAGTGAATATAGGAGGGGCTGGAAATTTTGACGGTGTCTGAATATCGTATCACATTATATACAGCAACCAGACTCTATGGAAATAGTTATTGCATTGATTGAATAATTATCTGGAATGGAACTTACTAGCGTATCAGGGTGTCACCCCCAAATAAAGCTAGTAAATGTGGGCCCTTACTCAGGGATGTGTGACAGTAACATAACGGAGCCAAAACAATGGTTGGAATAGAGTTGAGAGATGATGTGCAGTGTATGAGACATTGAGTTATAAGTTACGGCAGTATAAAGGCCGGGAACAGAAGGTAAATAAGATAGTGCGAAGGTACGATATAATGTGCAAGTGGTGAAGAAACTGAATCCAGACTTCGATACGCAGTAGAGACGCCAGTAGAACCTCCATTTGTGGGGATGACTGCTATTTCCAATGGTAATGGACAGCGTACAAAAGGGACATGTGAGGGTAGACTCACCTATAGAAAACGGAAAGGCGGATGGAATGGACCGCCATAATATGCAGGTATGTGGATGGATGACGATAATGACCTCTGAGGATTTGGTGCGAGGGTATATCACTAGAAGTAGATGTGAGACAAATGTGTACACTCACCGATTAAAGACTGGAAGTGAAGTATGACGCACCAGATTGAATGCACTGTCATAATATGCGAGAAATTAATGACGATGTTAAAGGACCTGTTTAAACAGATGATTAAGATTTTAGCATATTCTGAGGATATGGCACTTACCCGCAAGATGATAGTCACTCAATCCAGACTTAAGTTCTTTCCAATCCTCGGTGGAGTGTACAAAAAGGATATGTGAGGGCAGATCAGTAGAAGCAGATAAGAAATGTGCTCACTAGTGAAAAACTGAAAGAAAAGCATGACACACCGGGCAGAGAACGGATGCGAGGCACTCCCGCGGAAGGTCTTCAACCCTATTGGTGCAGCAACGAATGAGCAACCAGGGCGACCCTCCAGACACACAGTCTAAGAGTGATAGATCAGCGACACAAAGTCAACTAATCAGGGTTTGAACGGCACGAAGCCAGTTCAGATGCCAAGAGAGGGCCGGGAGTCAGAGTTGAGGCTGGAAGTTGACGGCCACGACGATCTAATGAGGAGGCAGTGGTGGGCTGGAAGTTGAGGGTGACGATGATATAATGAGGAGGCAGGATGATAGAGGCAGTGATGAAGAGTTGAACAAAGTTGGGACTTTCCCACAATTGCACTCGCTACCCAGATTCAGTCGGAATTTCATTGGGGATTTTCCCACTGCGTGTCTATTCAATTTCTTACATTTCTATCTACCGCCATTCATTGTTCCTCTTCTCTCTTCTCATCGTCCTTCCTCTCTCTCTCTCATCCTGCCTCACTAGATCATTGTCGCCCTCAACTTCCAGCCTCAACTCCCGACTCCCAGCCCTCTCTTGGCATCTGAACTGGCTTCGTGCTGTTCAAACCCTGATTAGTTGACTTTGTGTCACTGATCTATCACTCTTAGACTGCATGTCTGGAGGGTCGCCCTGGTTGCTCATTTGTTGCTGCACCAATAGGGTTGAAGACCTTCCGTGGGAGTGCCTCACATCCGTTTTCTGCCCGGTGTGTTGTGTTTCTCTTCTTTCATCTTGACTTTCAGTCTTTCACCAGTGAGCGTACATATTTTCTCTTAACTACTTCTGCTGATCTGCCTTCACATGTCCTTTGCGTGGTATCATTGCTGTCGTTGTGAGCAGCGACACAAACTCTCACGATCATATTCCGCAACGCAACACAAGGTACATTGACTTTCGCTTTCGTTACAGACATCCACTTACGATTTGTAGCATTCATCATGCCCAATGCTCTGACATTGTTTAAGTCGAATTGCACGCTCTCAGACAGTACATATTTGTCAATCTATCTCTGTCATGCACTGATGCTTATGTGTACAACAGGTTGGTTGCAAGCTTTTGATGCCCGCGCTGTCGCTGTGCAGGGAAATTTAATCATTACAACGCCCAACATGCACTTCGTTCCAGAGTTTCACCACTTTGAAGAAGAAGACCTACAAGCCTGGGCAGATGGTCGCTTCGGCGTTATTGATTGCTTCCAGTGGCCTCAGTTCTACGATGACTCTTTTGTCACGCTGTTTGCATTCCTCGAAAGGAGGCATTTCCATTCCCGCATCCGCTACATTGGGCCTGGTTCACCCCTAGCCGGGATGACCTTAAGTCCATTCCAGGGAATTCATTTCCTATAGGCACGCTGGCTCCTGATAAGGTCTATGGCTTGCAGTCCCTTCTCAAACTGGCTGAGCAACGAGTCCGCAATTACAGAAAGGATCAGCTGGACAGAGGTCAAATCATATACAGTCGCCTCTTGTACCTCCATCATGCCATCGCACGGTTGAAGTCCCACCCCCTTACTTTTCGAGATCTCCTCATTTTTGTCACCGACGCTCAGCGCCTCTTTCTCGACATATACTCTTACATTGACTGGGTACTCATCGCCCAACCTCGTACCACTTTCAGTGTTCGCCATGAGGTCAACTTAGGATGGATGGGGGGGTTCGCGCAGAGCAGCGACATCTGCGAGAAGTTATTCTGCGCTGGTGTCCCAGCTTGGTATGTCCGTGCAAGTGCATACATACCCCCGAAAATGATGGTCGTTGAACTGGTCTTACTCACATGCCTGGATCACATCATTATTGCCATGTACGCAGAGGGCAGAAAAATCCGCCCATTTGAAGTCATCTACCGTGGTCAAGGTGGTCACAATCATCATACGCACATTCGCCACCTATATGCAGGCACGACATACCAAGATCCCGAGTCTGACAAATCCTCTCAACCATCGTCCAGCTCGAGTCGTCCTGCTTCTGGTCCCAAATTATCTGCTCTTGGCAAGGCGCCTAAACAAAAGGGTAAACAACGGCACCGGCCTTGTATGTACCCTTTTTCCTTTGTATATGTTGCATACTCACACAATTTTCAGACTTCATCGAAGCTCGCCCTACACAGTCAGGTGAATCTAGGGATAAGTGGAAAGATCCCTAGACTCCTTTCCTTCCACCGCTGAACCTGCATTGTGATGGCGCCATGAAAACTGCCATTAAGGATGAGTCTCGTGTTCGCACACCCTACGTTATCGATCAGGGGTATAGATTTCCTGAACCCACTCTCCTCATCGGTCCCAAGTTTCCTGAACGATTGCAACTATACCTTGCCAACTGGCTCGCTGCTCGTCCACTGTAGATTGGCCGAGTTGACCATGATCCTCCATGCACTTATCCCACTCCTCAGCTCTGGTGCGATTTCCTCAGTAGCGTCCCTTCTGTCCAACCACAATCTTCCAAAGGGAAAGAGCCAGACGGAAAGAGTCTTACAGCCACCGAGAAGGGGAAGCGAGCAATGCAGGACTTATTCGGCGATGACCTGTTGGAAACTCAGGGTGATATATTTTCGCCAGAAGGAGTTGTTGAATTTCGGGGTGAACAAGTCTCCATCGCTAGTCTTGCTACCCCTCCTTCGCTTCTGGTCCAGAAGATCACCTGGGAGTAGAATTCCCCTTAGATGCCTCCCAGATTTTGGCTCAATCTATGTGCATAAATATTTTCATGCATTTAGGAATTTTATCCAGCATGTTATGCTCATTTTCTGAGAAATGCAGTTTGGAGCTGAGATATCACTAGTAGCAACCAATGGAGTACTTTTGAGCTACATCTACATATATATTCATTAATTAAGAGAAAATGAAGGTAGTAGCTGAATGACATACTTGTTCTTCAGAAGAATCGGACATGGTATCTTCCTAGTAGAAATGGAGTAATTCTAGTTGGAATAGTCTGTTGAAGGGAAGGGGGGGTGCAGTCTTCCCTATTGCATGAATAGTACACCTATGGTCCGTCCCAATGAGCCTGTGGTCTTCCCTATAGCATGAATAGTACACCTATGGTCCTTCCCAATAAGTTTGCAGTCTTTCCTATAGCATGAATAGTACACCTATGGTCCTTCTCAATAAGTTTGCAGTCTTCCCTATAGCATGAATAGTACACCTATGGTCCTTCCCAATAAGTTTGCGATCTTCCCTATAGCATGTATATTACACCTATGGTCCTTCCCAATAAGCTTGTGGTCTTCCCTATAGCATGCATATTACACCTGTGGTCCGTCTCATTAAACCTGTGGTCTGTCCCATTAAGCCTGTGGTCTTCCCTATAGCATGCATATTACATCTATGGTCCGACCCATTAAGCCTACGGTCCTCCCTATTGCATGCACATTACACCTATGGTCCGTCCCATTAAGCCTGCGGTCTTCCCTATAGCATGAATAGTACACCTATGGTCCGTCCCAATAAGCTTGTGGTCTTCCCTATAGCATGGATATTAGACCTATGGTCCTTCCCATTAAGTGTATGGTCTTCCCTATAGCATGCATATTACACCTATGGTCTGTCCCATTAAGCTTATGGTCTTCCCTATTGCAAGCACATCACACCTACGGTCCTTCCCATTAAGCTTGTGGTCTCGCCCATTTATCATTTTTGCAATGCTGTGGTATGTCATCCCTATTCATCTATCTATGTGAAAGTCTGGAGTACTATAGACAAAGGTTGTAGTAACAATATTGGGTCCAATAGTATGTAAACGGCCATGAGGTACTGCAGCTAATGTGGTTAAACAGGGAGGAGCCCCCTACCAAGATGCAAGTGGAGTGAGCATTAAGGAGTGGGTGTGATGAACCAACATGTGTGTGGTTTGAAGTGTACGTACCAGTAGTGTTAAGTGGAACTGGACTGGGCATAGGACAGTTTTCCAGAGGATGTAAGTGGGTCCAGTGGGTATATAATGAAATCTGTTGTGGGTTATGCGCCTGGCATGTTGGAGATGACTGTAGGTTGTCTGGACAAAGTATACAATTTTGATATATTGTTTAATTATATTAAAAAAGATTCATTATATTTATGAGGGGGTCTAGGAGGCAGGGCACAGGTCACAGATGGAATCCACAAAGGTAGGGAAATTTGCCAAAAAAATCAGCATTTGAAGACCCCAGACACCCCTACATTATAGGGAATTCAAGTGGTCCAAATCATCATATGGTACTCCCACAACATATTCCCAATGGTCTTTGGTCCCTAACAACAACAGGGAAAGACCACAGAACATTGGGTAGACCACCAGAAAAGTACCTCTTAGGTGAAAACCTCTATAGGTAGCAATCAACCTAAGAGGTGTCCAAAATGGGGTGACCAAAGTGCTGCCGAACAGTATGCCTATCCGTGATATTATTCAAACTTATTAAAATTTTGGTCCCTAACTCAGAACAACCTATGAACTCAAAACCTAAGCATCTGGCTCTGCTAGTGCCCCAAAACATGCAGATGTCCGACCCTTCCAAACCATCAGAGATGGGACTCCCTGAAATCATTTCAATTCTGGCTCCATTGCAGCCACCAGGACCCACCAATCTCCCGGTTCCTGAACCTAGTGGAACAGACATCTTGCAGAGCATCCAGGACCTTGGCAGGAGATTCAATCTCCTTGCAACCAATGAGCGGATGGACGTGTTGGATGCAAGGGTTGATTCGGTGGAGGACAGGTTTGGATGGAGGCTGATGGTGCTGGAGAACCAGATCACTGCCTTGGATGCGCATTGGCAGTCAGTTGGATCATCGATGGATAATCTGTCAATGTCCTTGCAAATCCATAAGGACGATCCGGCCGCTCACCATCCTGGCTCCTCCAACTGCACCAAATATGCCCTGCAAAATGCCCCTGTTGATGAACACCTGGGAATCTCGACTGTCGGTAGGGAACACAACCATGAGTGCAATTAGTTGGTTATGATGGATGTGGAAGGTGATGATGGGACATTGGCATTCAGCATGAGGCTCATCTGCGCCCCACATCTGCAAAATTGGAGGGGTGGATCATTACCAGCAGCATGTACTGAGTTCATGGTGTTTCCTGTTTTTATCTTTCACAGTTACATGGGATTTGAATTGATTTTTATCACAATTGTAGTGTACCAGCCTAGTTAAATTTGGTATGAGAACAACTACAAAGATATGTGCTCGGATGATGCAAATGGTGCACATGAGAAGATAGACAATAAAAAGGGTGCAATGGCTTGACATTCAGTCACAGATGTCCGGTTTCAATTCTATTTGCTTCGTAATTCCAGCTGACTCATTGTCCTGTATTCACTCATCATTCTACTCATATCACTGACAGTCTAACCGTCCGTTTTCTGATGAACACTCTCTTTATCGGCCGACTACTTACTTCCTTTTTTACCCAAGACCTTCATTAGAAAATAGTTAATTATGGCCTATTGTCATATACCTAGGGTAGCATTCTTACAACCCAGAATACCAGAATTTAACACCATCTTTCTATTGTGAACATTCTTCACTTGTGCTGGCTACTTCAAGTGATTAGCTAAACAGTAGACGTCACAAAGGGTCACCTGTCATATTTACACCAGCAGGATGTGAATACAGATATTTTGACATCAATATATAGACTCAATTCTGATGCTACTACAGCATTCCCCCTGCCCCCGAGTATGGCAATACATTTGTGAGCACAAAATATCAGCCAAAACCATTCCAGACCTTTACTGATCATCTTCCCTTCAGTATCATCAACGGTTATTTGTACTGGATATGCAAGTGCGCCACTTAGACCTCAAGTCTTTTGAAGCATCGGGGCAGTGGCTGGCGCGAAAGTGGATGCTTTGCCAGAAGAAGAAACAGGTGGCTCTTAAAGGACTGACGGAAGTTGGAATTGAAGAGGAAATTCTCAGAGAGGAGTGGGCAGCTCAGGTAGCTCACCAGACTAAACCTTTAACTCATAAGTAATTTCATGAGTTTATTTCTCCTGTGACACTACTAATTTAATGTACAGGGAGATCGAAAAACAAGGCTGCAGAGGCTATCGCCGGTGTTCTTATGCTGGAGAAGACTCTTGAAAGCTACCAGACCATCATACATGACTTGGAGCGCTGCCTCATCAACAACAATGTTGACAACATTACTACTTTTAATATCCAACTCGATGATGCTCGTGCCTGATATGCGAAGTCTGCCGACACACTCACGAGGAGACGCGCTGCATTAAGTATTTCACAGCGTGCAGACCTGCAGCAGCTAAAGAAGGATGCTTATCTTCAAGTCCGTATGAATGCCCGTGCTCTCAAGGCCCGACTTCATGATAGACTTCGACAACGAAAATTTGAATTAGAAAAACTTGAACGGTCCTACAGAAATACAGTCAATGGTAAGTTTATTTATTTCTCATGCATGAAAATGATTGACTTTGACTATAGAACTAAATCTACATAGCCATACTGAGACCTCCATCAAGTGGAGAGAACCTACAATTCTCAAAATCGTCTCGACCTACAACACGTTGTGCGACCAATTGTACGCAATGATCCGTCAATGCAAGGCCCCCCTTGGTGCTATTGCTCCACTACATATCTCACGCCAGGGCATCTTTCAGCTAGATGTGGACGATGAAATATGGCAAGACGTAGGACTGGAGGACGAGATTGCGGACCCTCCTCCCTGGCTCGCCGATAACAATGTTCGCCACAGTATCTGTCTTCTACTTGATCATGACCGTTGTGTGGAGGAGGAGAACAGGCTGAGTTGTGAACATTGTGTCATGCAGGAGTGGATGATCACGGAGTGGACAGCCCTTCAGAGTGCTCGAGCAGTTGTGGGTGAGTATCATACCCAATCCTGATCTGTCTCTGCTGAAGTATTATGATAGACGATGACATAGCATTTCACCTTGAGAAGCGCGCTGTACAGTTATCCCTTGCATGTATTGAGTGGGAATCAAGGGTACGTCCAATACCCTCCGCATGGGAAATACCCAATAGCTGGGGACCAATGCCCGACGACATTGCTTGTGCTGCACATTCACTTCATCATGCAATGACCGCATGATCTCCGAATGGTGATGTATTGGAGTTGTCAGAGGAAGATGATGACAGTGCAAGCCTAGATGCGGGTGTAGGTGATGAGGTTGATTTAATGGCTGAAGTCGAGGAAGTTGCATATGTCCATGAATATAGGATTGTAGATTCAGATTCAGACGGAAATCTAGAGTACTGGGATGAGGTACATATACCATCTTCTCCGACTTCTTATTAACTATATCTATGCATAATGGTCATGCTTATGAATTGATTCTTTTGAGATTTGTTATACAGTATGCTAATACTGCCTTGTGTCTGAGTGAGGTGTCCTTCTCACCATTAAGTATGGGATATCCTAGTATCCTTGCAGGAAGTTCCAGTACTGCTTCTATGTGAGGTGGGAATTCCCACTATGAAAATATTGGAGGCTTGGGAATTCCCAGTATATAAATATTAGAGGCTCGGGAATTCCCAAACTGAACTATTATTCTTGTTGGGAAGTCCCAGACTGAGCTAGTATCATTGCTGGGAATTCCCACTATAACAATATTGGAGACTTGGGAATTCCCACTATGAAAATATTTGAGACCTGGGAATTCCCAAACTGAACTAGTATTTGGTTGGGAATTCCCACTATAAAAATATTAGAGGTTTGGGAATTCCCACCATAGAAATATTTGAGACCTGGGAATTCCCAAACTGAACTAGTATTTGGTTGGGAATTCCCACTATAAAAATATTAGAGGTTTGGGAATTCCCACCATAGAAATATTTGAGACTTGGGAAATCCCACACTGAACTAGTATTCTTGCTGGGAATTCCCACTATGAAAATATTTGAGACCTGGGAATTCCCACTATAAAAATATTAGAGGTTTGGAGATTCCCACACTGAATTAGTATTCTTGCTGGGAATTCCCACTACGAAAACATTTGAGACGTGGGAAATCCCACACTGAACTAGTATTCTTGCTGGGAAGTCCCAACAATATTTAAGACTTGGGAATTCCCAAACTGAACTAGTATTTTCGTTGAGAATCCCCACTATGAAAATATTGGAGACTTGGGAATTCCCACTATAAAAATATTTGAGACGTGGGAATTCCCAAACTGAACTAGTATTATTGCTGGGAAGTCCCAATATAAAAATATTTCAGGCTTGGGAATTCCCAGACTCAACTAGTATTTTCATTGGGAATTCCCATACTAAACTAGTATTCTTGCTGGTGGTCTCACTGAGATGCCACAAGACAAACTGCAATGATGCATTGATCCTCGAGCCCTCATCCTTGAAATGGTTCCTGGAACATTGTCAACCAAACCTTTCATGAGCTGAAGTCATTTTAGCCCTGAGAAATACATAAATACTAGGATGAATGAAGCCATGATCATGTTTGTTTAACACTTCATTCATTGTGGTAGTTATTACTTAGTATATATATGATTTGTGCAATATATAGCAATAGTCCAACTCTATATCACTCAAGTTGTAAATATAGTATGCATATATTTAAATATAGCCAATAGTGTCTCTATTTGGATATAAAACCAAACATGGCAAAAACCCTGTTTCCTGGTGCCTCAACTAGATGATTATACCATAATACACCCTTGTTATGCTCAAATATTCCCACAATTATGCCTCTGATCATGCAGCAATACCCCCTAATATGACACAAAAATTCGGTGGAAGGACCTGACACCACTTACATCACAGGGAAATCCCACAGAAAATGGGGCAAGAATATGTCCCAGATGGACTGGGAAAAGAATCATGTTTGTCCCATGAAATATTCCTTATCTTTGTCCCAGCCACAGCCTTTGCCCCATAACATAATGGGAATCCCAAGAAAATCATACCTCTTAGGTTAATACATGTACAGAGGACTATCAACCTAAGAGGTCCCATTTAGGGGGTGACTGAAGTGGAGTCCAGGCCACTGCACATGGAATCCCTGTGTTTTGACTTGCCTTAAATTGAATAGGCGGTCTCAAAGAAATCAAACGGCCATCTTAGTTACCATTTCTCGCTAGCACTGGCAGCTCCAACGAGCAATGCGCGCAAGCCTTGCGTCATCTCTTTGGATCGCTGCCCTTCTCTTAGTTTTATTTCTACTAACGATGACCCAATGCGGTACTACAGGCTGCTCCTGGGAGAAGGCAACGGACACCCATGGACTCAACAGGCATCGTGCGTCTTGTCAATTTTACAAGAGGTGCAGCTCTCTGGCAACTCGGAAGAGACGGGAATGTGCCAAAGAAGCTTCACATGCAGTGTGTACTAGTAATTAGCTGTTTTCTTGACTTACGTGGACTTGAACTTCAGAAAATTGGTCATCTCAGACCAATTGCCCCTTGTCAATTGCTAGCAGGGCAAGGACAAGGGTCTGGCACTGGCATCTTTGATGCCTTCGGTCTCGATGACTCAGGACCCTGCCATGACCTAGACTTGATTCCGCAAGATAATGTCAACATTGAGATGGGTGCTAATTGCGGAGACGGTGTTGACTTGGATGGCTTTGGTTCACATCCCTTTGAATGACGGGCCACTAGTTTTCTCACTTCTTGAATTCATCAGAGAAACAGACGAGCCATATGAGACGAATCCTGAGACCCTTCCGCGTCGTCGAGCCCTTGGAGGAGGACCTTAATCATTCTGATAGTGTCAACAATCAGAGTTCGTCGAGTCAAAGTTCACCTACCATACCAGCCCAATCTAGAATCCGACGTGTTCTTCTAACCCTCAGAGATACACTTCAGACCACTTTCAACTCCTTTGGTCTCTGCCGACAATACCCTCGTTGTCCTTTGTTTGAGCCAGATAGATTTATTCCATCTGCATTACTTGCAAGGACATGTCCAGCTGCTGTTCAAGGAGCCTACTCCACACCGAAGGTCTTTGCACCTCCATACCCATTTGCTAATATGACTGTCTATAGACTTATATCCTGGATGAACTCCAGAAGCAGTCGGGTGTCAGAGACTAAAGTTGCTGCCCTGGTCAAGGATGTGATACTAGCAGAGGATTTCGACTGCAAGGACCTTCAGGGGTTTTCGGTAAGGCGGAGCCTATGAGAACTGGATAGAGATGAGAGTGGAGAGAGAATCACCTTTCCAGACGACTGGATCGAGACTCCGGTTACCATCGAGATTCCAACAAAGTGCAAGGAGGATGGCCCTAGACCTTACACAGCTCCTGGATTTCATTACCACCCTCTAATTGAAGTTATACGCGCCGCATTCGCAGATGCTCAAGGTGGAGTGTTCCACCTCTTGCCTTTTAAACGTCTGTGGAAGGACCCTCTAGACAACCATTAAGAGTGGGTATACGACGAGCTTTACACCTCCGATGCTTGGTTGGAAGCTCAAGACAGCCTGCACAAACTCCCGAAAGAGCCAGGGTGTTCCTTGGAGCACATGATCGCAGGGCTGATGTTCTTTTCAGATGCCACTCACTTGGCAAACTTTGGAACTGCTAAGGCTTGGCCTCTTTATACATACTTCGGAAATCTGATGAAGTACGTACATTCGTTGCCTACATCGGGATTGTGTCACCTTGTAGGATTTTTACCTTCAGTGAGTCCTTAGTCCGGTTGATTACTCATTTATCGACCTACCCCCCTCAGCTTCCCAATAGTATTAAAGACGTTTTGAGTAGCCTGCCCCGAATATCAAAAACAGGCATGGCCTCCCTTCTCACTCATTTCTGCAGGGAGTTGTTCCATGCATGTTGGGAAATCTTACTGGATGATGATTTTCTGTATGCTTATCGACATGGTATCGTTTTGAAATGCGCTGACGGACTGATGCGGAGAGTATACCCTCGCATCTTCACATATTCAGCTGATTATCCGGAGAAGTATGTTCTATTATTATTGAGTTATCAGCTGGATCATAATTTTACAGAGCTCTAATCGCGACTATTAAGGACATGGGTTCTTGTCCATGCCCTCACTGCCTGATACCAAAAAGCTTGTTCAATTGTCTTGGTTTGGCAAAAGACATGAAAAACCGCATAGCCAGTGTTCGAGTATATGTCACTACGCAAGTTGTCAAGACTCGGGAGTTCATCTATCGATCAGGAAATACTGTAGACAGTGGAAAAGTTGAAGATACCCTTGGAGAAGGCTCATGGGTTCCTATTCTGGTGAGTGTGACAGGCTCTGGACTAGTTATGATCAGCTCAAACCAGCATTTGCAGAATCAATTTGTAGAAAAGCTTAGACCACTGGGCCTTGACCCATTTTGTATGCTTGTAGTGGACCTCATGCACAAGTGCGAATTGGGTACCTGGAAGGCACTCTTTACGCACCTCATAAGGCTTCTTTATGCACTTCCTGGGGGTGCTTGACTGGTCGCCACCCTGGATGAAAGGTATGGGGACTCAATGAGGAGTATCTTGTTCCACTAACGAGTCCAAATTCACCTTAGATTTTGCCTGCTCCCGACCTTTGGTAATGGCATAATTCGCAAGTTTGCCAACAATACCTCAGAGATGAAAAAATTGGCAGCTCATGACTTTGAAGACATTTTACAGGTTCGTTTGCATCGTTTAGTTGTCTGGAAAGCTCCCTCACATGCCCTCCAGTGCACCATCCCAGTCTTTGAAGGGCTGTTCCCTCCTGACCACGATGCAGCTATACAATCTCTGCTATACCAATTTGCACAGTGGCATGCACTTGCAAAGCTCAGGATCCACTCCGATTCCATCTTGACATTTCTGGATGAAACCTTCAAAAAACTCTCTTGGCAGTTGCGGAAGTTTCGGACTTTTACCTGTGCTGCATTCAATGCCGTTGAGTTGCCAAAAGAGAAGGCGGCTCGTCAATGAAGGTCTGCTCAGCGCTCCGAAGTTCATGGCGTCTCCCCAGAATCAACCGGACCAAGGGTCAAGATGTTTAATTTGAATACCTATAAGTTCCACACTATGGGGGACTATGTGAGAACCATCTGATTCTTTGGGACCACAGACTCGTTTACTACTCAAATTGTATGTATCGCCTACATTCCACCAGTACAAACTTGACGTTCTTGCACAGGGCAAGCTTGCACACCGAGCTCTGAAAGCATTCTATCCACTGACCAGTAAACTGGACATGCCAGCGCAATTAGCCAAGCACGAGCATAGGCGCCGCGTGCTTCAGCGGATTGCAGAAGCAGGGGGTACACCCCCCCTCCCTACTCAACCACCAGTTGACGTCCCCCCCTCTGGAAAGAATTACCATATTGCTTCCTATCAACACCATCCTGTCAGTCTATTCACATTCATCCGACAACATGATGGTGATCCAGCTCTTAAGGTAAAAGTGACGTGTCCGTTTTGAAATTGCCTTACTCACTGTGGTGATTAGAAATTCATGCCAAAACTGAGGGACCACATCCTTTATCAGTTGCGCAAACTCGACATCAGTTACTGTGACCACACCTTCACGGATCAAGAGCGAAACTCAGTTATAATTCCTAATAACACGATTCACTCCGTCCAGACTATGCAAGTGCATTACACTACGTATGACATGAGACATGAGTATGACACCATAAACCCTAGAACACATGCGGACATCATGGTGATGTCAGGAGAGATGACGCCCAACCACCCATACTGGTATGCCCAGGTATTGGGAATATACCATATGGAGACATGGCTCAACGACCAAGCTCAGCCAGTAAAGCAGCACATTGAAGTTCTCTGGGTTAGGTGGCTGGCCCCGTTACAGTACCATAAATGTGGCACGAGACATGCGCGTCTTCCCAAGGTCGCATTTGTGGAGGAATCCGACGCAGATGCATTCGGTTTTCTTGACCCAGGGCAAGTTATTCGAGGAGTACATTTGCTCCCAGCCTTTGCTTTGGGACGTGGTGTAAGCTCGCTTTGCCACGGAAAATCATTGGCACATCCTGAAGGGGACTTAGATGACTGGGAAGCGTATTACATTGGCATGTGAGTGTTGGTTTCCATTCTCATGGCATATCAATCCTCAACCCCTTGTACAGATTCGCTGACCGAGATATGTTCATGTGCTATGGTCACTTTGGCGTGGGACATCCGGTAATGATGAGGATGATTATCAGGGATTGTCTTGGCCCTGACTCACCAAGCAACACCATGGATACTGTGGGCGACAGGAACGAGGTGGATGTGGACTATGCAGAGAATGGTGATGACGAAGGCTGGAACAGATGTGGCAAGGATGATGACAATGATGAAATGAGCGATGAAGAGTTTAGCAATGAGGAACTGGAGCATCACGGTGAAGATGTGAGAGAGAGAGATCATGGCTTGGAAGGGGACGAGGACGATGACGATGACCTCCTATCTTTCTAATTCTTTCAAATAACACAAATTGTTTTAGTCCTATATATTCATACATGAATACCAATAGATGTCCCTAGGAATAAATGTAAGTACCTGAAGACAAAAGTCTGTCATGTACAAAATGTTGATCATCGTGCACTGGAGTGTCACAAATGAAAGTCACAATCACACTGGTGGGAAAATTCAGGATATATGAGGTAAGCATTGCTTTGCTGCAACCTGGACATGGTAGCAGAGACAGCTAGCTTGAAGACTAACACATTCGTGGCAGCAGAGAGCGGCTACATCGCAAATGACGAGGGTATCATGCCTTCTAGAGTGGGCTCCTTGAATGTGCTCTTCACAAAATGCAGAACATGATGTATCTGATGCTCTTTGGGTCTAGACACGCACATTAGCTCCTAGTCGACCTATAGCAGAAGGTCACAAACCTCCATGGTCAGAACTGTGGTGCAGGACTGTAAGCTCCAGTCCAGGGTTCGACCAGGGGATGGAAATGACCGTCAAGAACCGTACCGTCGAGAGTCGTTCAGGATAGTTTTTGGGAAACGTTACGGTGAACTTCAGCACAGAATCCTAGTAGTATCCTGACAATAATATGAAACCGGACGGCACACCAGTAAGTATCAAGAATACTGACCTTTGTGCACAAAGAGAACAGCGTCCCACAACAGGGTGCTCTCCACAGAAGGAGTGATGCACATGCCAGTTGGACATTGGTTGATGTTTCTCAGTGATGCATACTGGGAATTGAGAGTCGCACAAGTCGCTGAACTTACTATGATGGATCCTTCGGGGTAGGTTCAGTCTGCAGTTTGAATGATCTTTGTTCAAATACTCCTGCCTTTGGCAAGACCAAGGTCGATTGTGGGGAAGAAACGACTAGCACTCGGCATGTTCAAGTAGCTCATACGGTGGGGGTAGGGGCATATTACTAAGAGCCTCAAGCATGTAAGTTTTCTCACGCACAGTCACTTGGTTCCATGCACAACAGCATTCTTCAAACTTCTCACTGTATAACAGGTCACCTGCGAGACCATGAGTGGCTCCTCCGAGTCTGAATCGAAGAGCAGTGATATCTTGTCCTCTTCTGACACCAATCCCAGGTTTGTTTTTCAATCACGCCCTCAGCGTCTATAGCATTTCAATAGCTCATACTTAGTACATCCAGACAACCCCAATCAACTACGACATCCTCACCTCCCACATCTGTGGCACCCAGTAGCTCTCCAGCCAAAAGTACTGGTTCTCCTGTTATGTCTGTCAATGACCATACATTTCACATCCAATGGGGTAGCCATGTCAACTTGGGAAAATGTCTTGTTCAAGATTCCCATAAGTGTTCCGCTCAGTATGCCTTATTTCAAAATGGCACGTGTGATGAGGATTGCAACTTGCCGACAAAGAGATTAAAGACCTTACACACAACGGTATGTCCATTTGAGTCATAGCTTTGGGAAGTACAATCCTCATTTTTTTCAAAGTGGAACTTTACTGCCGCCTCCACTGATGCTACAAACTACCTCAACCAGCGCATGCTTGAGCTCTCTCGGATAACTCGCCAAGCTATTGCTGCGAGGATCCACTACCAATTCCTTTGCTCCCATGAACTTGATTTAATAAAGTCTATCCTCAAAGACGAAACCAAGCTGTGCCAGACACAGTTGAGTGGAGTTGACATGCAAATTGGCTCCATTCGGAATATGCTCGAGGCTCAGGGGGTCACAGCGACAGGGAATACAGATTCTAGGTTTGACCCTGGCAATGCTGGGCTTTGGTACAGAAGCCTATCTGATGAAGAATCACTTGTAATTGCCGCAACATCACATGGCAGCTCAGCCTGCCTGCAGTCCAATGACTCGGATGTATAATTTATTTTGCGCTCATCACTATCTCCTTAACCACATCATGTGCCTTGTACGTAGTTTGGTTTCAATGTATTGGCTTCAACATTCTGAATTGCATTGTCAGACTATTTCGCAAAGAATATTTACTAATACTATGACAGGTATCACACAATCCAATTACTATGGATTTGGACTTGTCAAAGTTAAGTTCGCAGCCTATTGCCCTGAAGGTTTACTGATTCAGTCATCATTCGCTATCCAGAACACATGTAATAGAACACCCGCTTGTTTGAGTTGACATTGTTGTACATTATATTATTATTGAGTTATCGGCTGGATCATAATTTTACAGAGCTCTAATTGCGACTATCAAGGACATGGGTTCTTGTCCATGCCCTTGCTGCCTGATACTAAAAGCTTGTTCAATTGTCTTGGTTTGGTGAAAGACATGAAAAACCGCATAGCCAGTGTTCGAGTATACATTACAACACAAGTTGTAGTGCTCGCGAAAAAAGCTGAAAAATTTGTGCATTTATACAACCTCGAACCGCCGCCACAGATGTCCGGTGAGGACCGCAAGTCTTATATGAATCAACGAAGGGCAGAACTCTATGATCCAACACAGCCCTTTGGATACTATCTACACGGCAAACAAGAAACTCCGACATCTACCGATGTGCTTGTGTTCGCACATCCAGCTGTCCAAGGTGTTCATATGGCACACTGGTATGAAAGCAAGAAATCCCCGCTTTGTGACAGAGAGATGAGGTCGTTGATGTCGACCACGACCATTCACATGCTCTCAGGGTCAGCAACAGCAGTGAGTGAAGTATATTTTGGTTTCCATTCATTGACCCCTTTGTATGATCTTCAGATCAGGTATGTCATCGATCGGCATCCCGATGATCAACCCTCCGCATCGAAGAACACGCTCCAGTACTCTACCGAGTTATATTCAGGCGAGCAGGACTTGATTACAAATGCGATGGCATATACCCTTCAGACAGATATACATTGTGAGCCATTTGAGAGGCATTTACTGGGTCTTCATCACAATGGGCTGTGAGTATTTTGCTATGGTGAACACACACAGCATGCTCATACTTTTGCAGTCAGGCCCTGCACAAGATGCTGAAAATTCTGCCTCCTCAGATTCCAATCTACGTACCTGTGACGACGGGGGAGTTAAGCATACCACGCCCAATTTCCATTTTGTCACCGCTCGTGCAAATGAGTGATCAAGTGCCCTCGATGACAGTACAACCACAGATGACAGTGCAACCGCAGATGATGGAGTTAACACAGACTCCGGACTTAGATGACTTCAATTTCAGTTCATGGTTGTCTGACTTGTCAGAGGAGCAGCCCACGGCCTCTGGGTCAAGGTTGATTGAAGGGTCTTTCAATATATAGAAGTCATTCGAACATCGGATCAATTTTTTATACACCTTACAGCTGTACTTACTACTATTAGTGCTTTTGATATTGGGTTACGGTCACAGCTCCTCAATGATACGGAGTCTCGAGTCTGCGGCCAATACCGGCCATCGCCGGGTGTGCAAGGAGCATGTGTGAATTCTGTTTGCTTGTATATCATTGTTTGTGCTGCGATCACACTGCTCTGAACGATGAACGTCTAATTGACTATGCTACCGACGGCACTCTGCATCTACCCTCAGGTGCTTTACGCTAGGCAAATGCAGCCATCCTCCATCATCTGTAGTTAACACTACCTCATGAATACGATAGAGGATTTCTTGCGCCGGATCCATCTACATCTTTCACTGATAGTTCTTGATTCCTTTGCAGATGCATAGTCGCGATGTAGGACTATTTTCTCGCGGTGGCATATCATGGATCATCGGGTAATCTCATCGTGACTACTCCATAATTGTTTGACTTATCCAAGTTTTTTCTTCACCCCTCACTACTAGGCCATACCATCACTCAGATTGTTAACATCAACAACAGCTCGCAAGTGGCCTTTCAAACTATCACATCAAGATTCGTTGATTTGACAGAGTTTCATATCATAGGTGAGACTTTTGAACTTTTCTATGCTCAAGGCTCTGATACATAAACTAGTCTGAAAACTGGGATCAGAGACTCTCAGAACTAACTATGGTGGTGCGCACCGGCTTGTAAGCTCATCTATCAATGGGGAAATACCCCAAAGGTGTAGGGGTTGGAGAGAAGGCAAACCAAAAAAAAACCAGAATACCTACTCTGGAAGCATGGCGAATGGACTCCCTGGGGGTGCTCACCTCTGGGTGAAAGACATGCGGAGCTAATGAAGATGATTATCTGGAGAAGTATGTTCTACCATTATTGAGTTATTGGCTGGATCATAATTTTACAGAGCTTTAATCGCGACTATTAAGGACATGGGTTCTTGTCCATGCCCTCGCTGCCTGATACTAAAAAGCTTGTTCAATTGTCTTGGTTTGGCGAAAGACATGAAAAACCGCATAGCCAGCATTTGAGTATACGTTACAACACAAGTTGTCAATGCTCAGGAGTTCATCTATTGATTAGGAAGTTATGTAGACGGTGGAAAAGTTCAAGGCACCCTCAGAGAAGGCTCGCGGGTTGCTATTCTGGTAGGTGTGATGGGCTCTGTACTGGTCATGATTAGCTCAAACTGGCATTCACAGAATTGATTTGTAGAAAGGCTTGGATCATTAGGCCTTGACCTATTTCACATGCTTGTGGTGAACCTCATCCCATCCTCTGGTACCACAGATTCCTTTGCTACCCAAATTGTATGTATCATATATATTCCACTAGTACGAACTTGACATTCATGTGCAAGGCGAGCTTGCACGCTGAGCTCTGAGCTCTGAAAGTGTTCTATCCACTGACTAGTAAACTAAATATCCCAGCGCAGGCGCCGTGTGCTTTGGCAGGTTGCAGAACAGGGTTGCAGAAGCAGGGTGTACTATGACGCAGACAGGTGAAGCTGGCTTCCGAGAAAGTGCTTTTAGGCTGTTTTCTGGTTGTCCCAATCTCGTAATGAATCTCCAGACAGATGCTGTCCTGACAGTTTTCCGGAAAGGTCTCCAAGACTCTCAAAGTGTGCATGTACGTAGTCCTCCAGTCGAATTAATTGGCATTAATGGATAGTGCTCAGGTTCGGCTTGCTGCTCTCCAAGCCTCTGTGTCCTACCTTACTGCATGTGATCAACTTCAATTATCACACTCGCTCTCGCTACTCTATTCAATGCTAGACACATTACCTTCCCTTCCCAACATTCACCTTAAATCCTTCCTCAGCTCGCTGACACTATTATGCTCATCTCATCCTAATCTCTTTGTGCCTCATATGGATGCCCTACTGTCTTTCTTGCGTGGTTTCATAATGCCAAGTGTTGACTCAGGCCTGACACCCATGGTTGCTAAGCCATTCCCCGGCACATCAAGTTTCACGTTCCCTCCCAGCAGATCTGGCAGTCGGACTCCAGATGGCAATGACGAAGTCACAGAGGACAAGGAGAAAGAGTTGGTCAGAAAAGCTGCATTAGAATTTATGGTAAGTCTTACTGAGGCTAAGCCTGCATTGGCGAAGCATTCACAAGGATGGACGGTGGCTATGGTAAGAGCATCTCTAGAGGGCATGGGGGAATTACCAGAAGACACGTTGGATTCCTGGCTCAAAGCTGATGTAAGATACTTATCATGCATTTCTCCAAGTATTTCACCAACTCAAATATCTTAGCCCTCAGAGGATGCACAAGATGAGAATTATCCTCATGTATTCGAGCAATCCCTCAATAGGGTGGCCTGTGCTCTTGGAGGTAAAGCAGCACTTCCTCTGGTGTTCCAATATATTCCGTCAATGCTCGCCAATTACGACTGGAGATTGAGGCACGCTGGCCTGATGGCTATCGCAGCCATAGCCAAAGGCACGAACAAGGTTCATTTGGTTTATTTATGGCAAAGCCTAGGCCCACTCATTCGTCTATTATTAGGTGATGCAAATGGAACTTGGGAAGGTTGTTAAGTGCTCATTCTTCAGTTTATTGTCTGGTCCCTTTCATTGATCATGTTCCCAGCCTCATTACTCCAATGTTCAAGGACGCACGTCCACGTGTCCGGTATGCCGCATATCAATGCATGTACGTTGCTTTTATTATCTCATGATATCCTCGCTTAATGATTGATGCAGTGGTCAACTATGTACTGATTTGGAGGTAAGTTTAGTCACCCTGCCACGATGATCCTCATAGACACTTGTGCTCCAAGGAAATCATTCAAGATCACTACCACAAGCAATTATTCACTGCATTGATCCCAACACTAGAAGCGCCAGAACCTCAGTGACTATTACATCCTTGATTCTGTCACTTGTCCTCCGCCTGATCCTCTATTTTAGTGTGCACTCACATGCCGCTGCTGCCCTGATCAACTTTTGTGAAGGTGTCGAACGTGACACCCTTGTTCCTTATTTGGACCCGATCGTTGAGTGTCTGCTCAAGATGCTCAATCCAGGAGCTGAGGATGGCAAAGTAGTCAAAGGTTATGTTCAAGAACAAGCTATTACAACTCTTGTTATGGTCGCTGATGCCAGTGAGGCAACATTTGCTAAGGTATTATATTGCAGTCTTGCGTATCCATTGTTTATCTGACGCTTGCATATACAACAGCACTATGCCTCCATAATGCCTCTTCTTTTAAATGTTCTCCACAATTCCAACAGTTCTGACCATTACAAGCTATGCGCGAAAGCCATGGAATGTGCTGGTTTAATAGGTAAGAAACAGTTGATATCAGCGCAAGTTTCCTTGACTGATCCTTGTCAGCAATTGCCGTTGGACGTAAGGTTTTCCGCACTGACGCTGTCACGAGTTCCAAATACAAACCATTATTTGTTCCTTAATTCTAAATCCTTTAAGCGCCCAGTCACAGCGCCTGTTTCTAAGAATGTGTTTACTGTTGAAGAAGTTCCTATTATTGCGTCTATTGTAGAATTACCAGAGTCACGTGATCTATCAGACAATGCCGAAGATGTTGATGTCATGCCTCGCGACACTCTTGGAATGTTCCAGAGTCTTACTGCGGCTGCGGCACATGTTATGACATCATAGTTATATATAGAATCGAACGATACCTTTAATTATTCTGATTGGTTAGTTAGTTCATACTCAGTTTCGATCTCAGTTTCAATATGTGTATATAGGTAGCTCGTCGTAGTCAGTAGTTCTTTAGTTCAAACCTCTTGTATCTCCAAGTGAGCAATCCAAGATGTACCTGCTGCCTTATCCTCTTTGTGATTATCTTGTTGTTTGAGTCCTAGTCTCTGCCCTGCGTTAATTCGTTTAAGGGGTTGTGACATTAGGTTTGAACTATAGGAGACTCCGACTCTCGCGTTACACTCTCGCATCTCTTTCTCTTTCGCCTGGTCATGTTGGAAGTCATCTTCACACCATCAGCCGAAACAGAACCGTTATACTTTTGCCCGGCTTAAACCGCCGCGATTTTTGATTTCATCCCTTTGCTCATTTGAGCGCATTTTCTCTACCTATCATCTTTCTTAGTTAGTAGTCCTATACCAGGCCCTGTCTTACTGCAGCCGCCAGTATACGGAGGTGTTCACGACATTAGGCGTGTCACTGCAACTTTGAGTGCTGGCCCAAAACCCTGCCTGCTCAATGTTACTATAGTTTCATTTTACCTATTCCTTTCTTCATACGCACGTAGGCATTTGTTTCGAGTCAATAGCGGAACTGTCTAGACGACAAACTGTGCTTTCGACCTACGAGGATTTAGAGACATACCCTAGTGAGACTCGCACTTGTAAGCTTCGGCTGGAAGAGTGATAACTTGTCCTAGGCTTGTACCCTCAGAACGGAGATTGCATTGTCCCTAGTTTTTCCCACTCGATCGAGTATAGTTTACGTATCCTTTCTAGTTAGTATTAGGGAAGTGTCAGTTGGGTTGATTAAAGAACCCTTTGACCCTGAAGTACGAGGTTGATCCGATCAGATATCGGGGACCGCTTCAGTTTTATGTTTACATAACTTTCTCTTTTTCATCATCATTCCCTTCTGGAAGAGCCCTTACGAGCAGCTCTTCAACAGACATCAGTGAATCGGGTTCCAGAATACAACTGGCACTATGTCTGAATTACCAAACTCTCCTGTACAGCCTACACCGGTAGTGTTACAATCTACTCCACAAGAAATTGTCGAGTACATTCACATGTCACTTGCAAACCAAGCGGACAGCTTCAGGGTCAGAATCGCAGAACTAGAAGCCAAGAATTTAGCTCTAGAAGAAGCAAACAGACTCCTGGGCGTACGCCTAGAAATGCAAGAAGACGAGACTGTGAAAATACAGTCTCAACAACCATCATTCGGCTCTGCAGGAGCTAGCCTACTTTCATCAAACTCTTCCCCCTCCATCAAATACTCAAAACCCCAAGACTTTACTGGAGAAAAGGACTCCATAGAACTCATGGTCTGGATATCCCAAGTAGCGCTATACACGGCGCAATGGCCCAACATCCAAGAAGGCCAAAGAATCGGAGTAATGCTCTCCTTCATGAAAGGCACTGCAGCCAAATGGGCGCAACCTTACATCACTAAACTTGGAAAGACCAGAGATGAAAAGTTGACCGTGGAGAAATTCCTGGAAGACTTAGAAGCCATGTGGGGGCAAGAAGATCGTGAAGGAAAAGCGATCAGAGAACTGGAATCCCTTAGACAAGGATCTTCCTCAGTTCCAGAGTACGCAGCTGCTTTCAGACAAAAGGCTGCACACACTTCATTTTCCGACTATGACCAGAGACAGAAGTTCAGAATGGGACTTCAAGACCGCGTCAAAATCCAACTCGCTCATGTCCGTTACGAGGACAAAAACACCATGAAGAAACTGGTGGAACATGCGATCCAAATCGGACGCAAATTCGAAGAGCTGGATGCAGACAAGAAGAAGACGACCTGGTGGACCCCTAAACAAGGCCCCAGGACCCCTGAATACAGACCTGGTCCTAGCAGGGAAAGCGACGCTATGGACGTCGACGCCAATAAACAGCGAGGTGCTCCAAAGCCTCAAGGAAAGACTGGATCTTTCAAATGTTACCGCTGTGGAGGCGAAGGCCATATGGCTAGAAACTGCAAAGACGCAGTCGCACCAAAAGTGCAGGTGAAGGCTACTACAGTGCCAAAGGAAGAAGACCCTATCCCAAGCTGGTTCAAAGCTTGGGTCAGCTCCAAAGAAGGCAAGGGTTTTTAGAGGGGTCGAAGTCAAAGTCTGCGAACTTAGACCCGAACAATCGTTTCTCTATCCTATCTACGTTCTCGGATGTATCAGAAGTATATATTAGATCCAAATCTGAGCATTTTTACATTCCGATCACGTTGAAGGGAAAGAACTGACAAGCAGATGTGAAAGCACTGGTAGATTGCGGTGCATCGACATTATTTATTAGCGAGAAGTTTGTAAAAAAGAACGAAGTCTGGTGCCATAAATTATTAAGGCCCATTCCGGTTAAAAATATCGATGGCTTGTTAAATGCCGCTGGATCGATGACTCATTACGCTGAATTAGGTCTAAAGATCGGTGACCATGTTGAGGATCAAGCAGCCTTCATGGTTACAGACTTAGGAAGCGATGATGTTATTATTGGCATAGATTGGCTAAGATATCACAACCCGGAAATAGATTGGAACACTGGACGTTTTGCACTTTCTCATTGCCCGATTAAATGTATTACTAAAAAAGAACAAAGACAAAAAAATAAAGAAAAAAGAAAAGAACAAAAAAAGATAGAAGAAGTGCCAGACCTGATTCCCACAGAAGAGGATGACGAAGAAGACATGGCGATGAAGAGGGCGACAGTTGAGGAAATAGAAGACGAAGAGTATCCTGGAGAATGGATCAAGTATAAAGCCTCGGTTGCCACGGAGTAGAAGGTTGCAGAAGAAGCAATGAAGGTGAAGAAATCGGTCGAAGAGATGGTTCCCGATTGGCTTCACGAGTACCTGGGAGTTTTCTCAGAAGAAGAATCTAAGCGCTTCCCTGAAAGAAAGAAATGGGATCATGCAATAGATCTTAAAGATGATGGCGATCTTCTGCCGAATGCGAAACCCTATCCCTTGTCACCCAAAGAGATGGACACTTTGAAAGATTGGTTAAAAACCGAGACTGCACTGGGACGTATAAGAAATTCACAATCCCCAGTGGCAGCACCTTTCTTCTTTGTGGCCAAGAAAGATGGCAAGTTAAGACCGGTAATGGACTATAGAAAGCTCAATGAGAAGACGGTTAAAAATGCATACCCGCTACCGAGATCTCAAGATTTGATTGATGCTTTAACCGGTGCCACGATGTACTCCAAGATGGATGTAAGATGGGGGTACAATAATATTCGCATGAAAGAAGGAGATGAGTGGAAGGCGGCCTTCAAAACGCTGTTTGGTCACCATGAACCAACCGTAATGTACTTCGGTTTAACAAACTCCCCTGCCACGTTTCAAACCATGATGAACGAGATATTCAGAGATTTAATTGATGGAAAGACCGTAGTTGTCTATATTGATGATATCCTCGTGTTCACAAATGGCAATAGGGAGCAACACCGAAAAGTTGTACGAGAGGTACTGAAACGACTAAAAGAGAATGATCTGTATCTGAAGCCTGAAAAGTGTAGCTTCGAACAGACAGAAGTCGAATTCCTCGGGTTGATAGTGGAGAAGGGTGGTATTCGAATGGACCCTGTGAAGGTAGAAGGAGTAATGAAATGGCCTGTACCTAAATGTGTTAAAGATATCCAAGCATTTATGGGCTTTGCCAACTTCTACAGAAGATTTATCTTCGGGTTTTCGGACATCGCTAGACCAATGAATGATCTATTACGAAAGGATGTCAAATGGGACTGGACGGAAAAACAGCAAGATGCTTTTGATGAACTGAAGTCAAGGTTTACATCAGCTCCGATCCTAGTAATGCCTGACGTTGAGAAAAAGATGAAAATAGAAACCGATGCCTCTGATTATGCAACTGGAGCGGTTCTATCTCAACTGATGGAGGATGACCTATGGCACCCCGTGGTGTATTACTCTAAGTCGATGAACGATGCAGAAAGAAATTATGACATCCATGACAAAGAGTTACTCGCAATCATTCGAGCGTTGGAGGAGTGGAGGCACTATGTGCAGGGAAAACCTCACCATGTGGAGATCTGGACAGATCATAAAAATCTCGAGTACTTTATGACGAGCCAAAAGTTGACAAGAAGGCAAGCCAGATGGAGTTTGTTCCTGGTGGAGTATGAATTTACGCTCCAACATAAGCCTGGTGTAGTCAACGATAAGGCCGATAAGCTTTCTCAGAGAGAAGACCACAGAGGGGGGGTAGAAAACGACAATTCTGATCGTATTTTGTTAAAACCGGAGTTTTTTACTGTAAAAGCTGCTAAAAGAGGTCAAGTTCTAGTGCAAGGAGAAAAACAATTGCTGAGAAAGATAAGGCAATGCACAGAACGAGAGCCCGAAGTCGCTAAAGCGCTACAGACGCTAAAAGCAGCACCGGTACAATTGCGTAGAGGAGTCGAAGAGTGGAATGTGGAGGATGGATTGGTGTTATTCCGAGGACTGGTTTACGTTCCAAATGATAAAGAGATCCACCGAGAAATATTGGAGTTGTTTCACAACTCTCCACCGGCTGGACACCCTGGACATGCCAAAACCTTAGAATTGATTTCCAGAAATTATTGGTGGCCTTCAATGACGAAGTATGTCCACGATTACGTAGATGGCTGTGATAGATGCAGAGCAACGAAGATTCACCCAACGCAACCACATGGTCCGCTTAAACCAAATGAAATACCAGCGGGACCTTGGCAATCAATCACTTGTGATTTGATAGTAGATTTGCCTAAAAGCGAAGGGTTCGATTCTATTTTTGTTGTCGTTGATCGATACATGAAACAAACGCACATCATGCCTACGAAAAAGGAAGTTGACGCTCGAGGAATCGTGAAACTTTTCTTAGATAACATATGGAAACACCATGGAACTCCGAAACAGGTGATATCGGACAGAGGAACACAATTTGTTTCCAAGTTTATGGGACAAGTGTCAAAACGCCTAGGCATAAAATGGAACATGTCGACGGCTTATCATCCTCAGACAGACAGACAAACAGAGAGAATCAATCAAGAAGTAGAGCAATATCTGAGAATGTTCACGTCTTACCGCCAAAATGATTGGGTAGACTGGCTTCCAATAGCAGAATTCGCTCACAACAACTCTGTCACTGTAACGGGTCATAGTCCATTCAAAGTACTCTACGGATACGATCCAGAGTTTACTTTTTCACCAATTTCCAATTCTAAGGTACCTGCAGCTGATGAACGAGTGGATGTAATGAAATAGGCGAAGGAAGACGCGGAAAGTATGCTGCGAATGGCGAATGAACGGATGAAGAGATTCTACGATAGAGGAGTAAAAGACGCACCACAATTCAAGAAAGGAGATCTGGTCTGGCTCAATGCCAAAAATATCCGTCAGAAAAGACCAAATAAGAAACTCTCCAATCGACGACTTGGTCCGTTTGAAGTGCTAGAGAAGACGGGTGATGTAAATTACCACCTGAACCTTCCAGCAAAATATCAGATTCATCAGGTATTCCACGTAGAATTACTTACTCCGCATTCCCCCTCGACCTTAGTCCAAAGACCTCCACATCATCGTCCGCCGCCAGAGATCTTATCAGAAGGCGATTCCGAATGGACAGTACGAAAAGTCCTAGACTCGAGACTGCACAGATCAAAACTCCAATACCTAGTAGAGTGGGAAGGATATCCGATAGAAGAAGCGACATGGGAACCTGAGGAAAACCTTGAGAATGCACGGTTGAAAGTTCAAGAATTTCACCGGCAAAACCCGAAAGCATTGAATCCCCGCAAAATTAACAAATTGGTGTTCGAAACCCAAGAGTTTTTGGAACGGCGCAAGAAGTTTATTCGTCCTAGTTTCATTCGCGATGACGCTCATCCTAGAGAGGGGGTAATGTCACGAGTTCCAAATACAAACCATTATTTGTTCCTTAATTCTAAATCCTTTAAGCGCCCAGTCACAGCGCCTGTTTCTAAGAATGTGTTTACTGTTGAAGAAGTTCCTATTATTGCGTCTATTGTAGAATTACCAGAGTCACGTGATCTATCAGACAATGCCGAAGATGTTGATGTCATGCCTCGCGACACTCTTGGAATGTTCCAGAGTCTTACTGCGGCTGCGGCACATGTTATGACATCATAGTTATATATAGAATCGAACGATACCTTTAATTATTCTGATTGGTTAGTTAGTTCATACTCAGTTTCGATCTCAGTTTCAATATGTGTATATAGGTAGCTCGTCGTAGTCAGTAGTTCTTTAGTTCAAACCTCTTGTATCTCCAAGTGAGCAATCCAAGATGTACCTGCTGCCTTATCCTCTTTGTGATTATCTTGTTGTTTGAGTCCTAGTCTCTGCCCTGCGTTAATTCGTTTAAGGGGTTGTGACAGACGCAAATACGCTTGTCGAGCTTTTAATCAAAATCCAAAGTTCGTCCTTGACTGCCTTCAAATCAAATCTCGATAACTGTTTACCATGTATGATAGATTCTCCTGTCGATCCCTCGGACACCATGCTGCCCACCTTTTTAATTGCTACTTGGGCTAAAATTTGCCAAGCTCTCGGCATCGAGTTTGAGCCGTTCATTCCTGTAGTCATGCCTCCACTACTGAACGCAGCCAGCACAAAAGCCAATGTCTCTATTTATGGTAATGTCATTCATTCGGGTCATGGTACCCACTTACCTTGCTACACAGATGATGAAGACGATGTCGGCAAGACGTGAGAAGGCTGGGAGACCATCTCGATGGATGGTCATATCGTTGGAATCCGCACTTCGACTATTGATGAGAAATGCCAAGTGTTCGACACACTCATTGTCTATTGCGCGACACTTGGCGGCCGATTTGCACCTTATCTTGCCCAGAGTTTGGAGCTCTCCCTCTATTACAGTGGGATTGCCTCATGGGGCTGGTTTCACAATTACCATTACGCACCACGGATATCTGGTACGTTTTGCATTCTCTGTCCTCATTGCACTATGTTCACGATTTCTTCAAGATTTATGCGGCCTTGGCGACATGTTGTTCGCATTTGAGCTGGGTAAATATCTGCCTTTCAAACAACTGATGGGCGTCCTCCCACCCGCAAGCATGGATCACATTTCGTTAGCATATCAAGTACGTTCAGTGGCCCTGTGTCGTGCATTAGACTAATCACTCATAGGATCTAATGTACGACGCAAATTCACCGATATTGGATTTCTACCCCCTCAAATTCGAGCAAGACCTAAATGAGAAGAAGCAAGAATGGGAAGCAATTGTTAAGATTCCCTTCATTGATGAGCAGCGGCTGTTACAAGCAATGCATTGTGAGTGAGAAGTTCCACTTTTTGCTGTAGTTTGTCATTGCTCCATGTGTGCAACCAGAGAACATAGGTCCTGACGTCGATGTCCTAGTGCACGTCCGTCCGCTAAAAGGTGCATACTGGTATTTTATCAATGTTCGTTTTTACACATTCATGCAGGTTCGCGATTCTGGACTAAGGAGGAGTGAAGCCATGGCTCACATTGAAGGGGGTCCGAGATCTCGAGCCAGTTTCTCTCTTCTTGGACAACTCCACTGGCTCACGTCTCACGATGCCGCCACGCTTGTTGGAGCGCGAGAATTGAGCCTGCTCGACCCCTGAGTGCACTGCACCGTCTCAAATATATCCCAGAAGAACCATCATATCACACTCTCTTCCGTGATTTCCTGAAGGCGAACTTCTGTGAAGAGAATTCGGTGTTTTGGATGGATGTCGAAGATTTCAAGTGCAACTTCAATACGACTTCTAGTGCACAAGCTGCAGCACCTACTTGGTCAGGCAGCAAACTGAGCGTGCACAGGAAGGCGGCAAACGAGGGCGAGAGCTTCTTAAGAGTCAATATCTGGGATGTGAACAATGTGTCCCCACCATTGTCAGCTGCAAGAGGAGAATGGATGTCTTAAGCACGGGGGGCTAGCGAAGGTATATCTGTCAAAGAAATCGAACAGGTTGCTGATGACATTGAAAAAAGCGACAATCAAGAAAGCTATTGTGAAGAACATCCCTCGCTACACAGTTCTGAAACCATCACACGCTATCTATCGACTTCAGAACCAGCACTTTGCTTTGAGAGACAGGGTGACTGTTCATTAGCTTGAATGCGGTCGATTGTGTTGGTTGGGGGGGTGACTAACGATGTCCTCAGCTGGATTTGCGTTGATATTGATATTGATACTAACCTTCAATCTGATCGCCCTTTCCAAAATTTCAACATATTCGACAGCCCACGCCGCCATCTCAACATCACACTAACCCTTCTCCCCGAGTCCTCTACCCTCTCCCTCTCCCGTTTTTTCTCCATCTCCTGTTTCCTCATTTTCTTCGCCTCCCTCTGCCTCTCCTTCTCTGCCTCCCTCCTCTCGGCTACTATCTTCCTTGTGCGATCGATACCGCAGCAACGCTGATCCACCGTCAGAGTCAGGCACATAATCGGATACCACGATGGACCTCTTACCTCATCCTGAGGTGCCATGGTACAGGTAAGTCTTTCGATTATGATTCGATGTTGAGATACTGATTTCTGCACGATACGATGCGGAGGGGTGAAATCGATAACGTTGATTTCCTTTTTCGGCATGGGGGCTTGTTTCAAAGTCCACTGCCGTCTCCCAGACCTATTTCAATTTATCTCAACCGTTGTTTTCAAAATCTTGTCGATACAGTTGTTTCTCGTCCCGCTGTTTGTCAATTAATACTTGTTGAATTTTCGGACGGTTCCTTACAAGCAGTGAGAATTATCACCGGGTCCAATGCACACAACGCCCAGAGGGCTCCTTATTTTGCACTCAGGCGCTACTCCGGCATGTATTTGAGAAAGTCCTTGTATATGCAGTGCTTCAAGCCTTCGGCCTTCACAGTAAAACACTGACAGCGAGCCTAGTATGTGAGACACATGGGAGTCATGTGAACTACTTTTGCGAAAGCCCATTCTGTTACAGTCACTACGTGAGCCCCCAGCTACACGACCAGCCCTCTGCCACCTTGCACGGCAACGACACGATACCCGGGCCTTTAGGCCTTGATGATAGATGCGAATAGAAGAGAAGTCCGGAAGATGCCGGATTAGGTAAGCGATCTGGATCGCTTACATGATATGACGACATAGGTCTAGAAGACCTATATATGTTATCAAGATAGAAGGCAAGCCTCGTGTTGCCTCATGTACTGATAGAAGCCTGCCTCATGCATGGTATCTCTGACTCGATAGATAAGCACTTAGAACCCAGCTTCAAGCTGAGCTTAGATACGATAGAGTAGCCTTATATAAAGGTCGACGATTAAAGTAGATGTTCCTTACTTTAATCCTACTGGGTTTACCATCGAAACCTTTGTCTTGCTAAAGCTACCTGCTCGACATCAGACCCGTACCTTCAGGAGGACTTGAGACCCCTTCTGCCTGTAACTCGCTATCATCGTTCACCTCCGTGAACGTACGCAACTCCTGCTCTTCTGTAGGAGCCGACCTCGGACTCTCAGCACGAGGTATCACTGTCGTGATCGTCGCTGTTAGATCATCCCAGTCCGCACGCGACACACGTCGTAACAAAGGATTAAAGTCCCCTTATTGTACGCCTCCATCACAGGCTACTAGATAACTGATCGCACTTGTTGTCAACGTTACCGACACTCGTAGAACCCCGAACCTAGATCCCGAAGGATTTTCATATCCCTGATTTAGAACCCTGATCGTACCGGCCTGACCAGTCGCAAGAATATAAGAACCGCCGTCACTGTGGAAAGCTCCAAGAAAAGGATACCACGAAGATCGTAGAAACCATCTCCAATATGGCAACTACCAGAAACACCTTCGCCGCCGCACACCTCACCGGGAAGGAGACTCGCCTCTGTTTGCGAGAGAAGAAATGTTTTGTGTGCCACATCATCGGACACAAAGCCGCGAGCTGTCCTCAATGGACCCGAACCTCACGGAGAAAGATGATCGAAGAAGAACCCCGCCTGCGCACTATTAAGGTGGCCGGGGCTAAGGATGATCTACGGGTGAACGCCACCCTGATTTCCAGAACAAGAAGTAACCCCATCGCGACATCTATGATCGTAGATTCTGGGGCGTGTCAGTCCTTTGTCAACCAGGACGTAATCACGCAGCACCGCATCTTGACGCACCAGCTAGAGAACCCCCTGACACTCTCGAACGCTGACGGATCCTGCTTCGGAAAGAAGCCAATAGAAAGGTTTTGCAACCTTACTTTCCAGATCGATGAACGGGTAATTTCCGAACGGTTTTACCTAGCCGAACTTGGTCCGAAAGACAAGTTCCTGCTTGGACGACCTTGGCTCATCAGCCAGAACCCCTTGATCAATTGGAAAACCGGCGCGGTAACCCTCAAGAGTACCGCAGATTCCCGAAAGAAGGAAAAAGAAATAGATTCTGATCGAAAAAAGAACGGCAAGACGCCCCTCTTCCTGAAAGAAGAAAAGAAGGTGGCAAAGAAGAGAAAACGATCAGTATCCCCGACAACTCCCCGCACCTTCTCTTCGGGCACAGTACCACTAGCCCGAACGACACGAATTGCACCGGCCCACGAAGAGCCGCAGAACGGAATCCCCGTTGAACCTTCAGAAACCGCACCACAGCCCGCGAAAACTGTGACGAAGAAAGATTCGCTGCCAAGAATCGACCTTGCAGCGAAAAGATATGAACAGAAGAGACCGGCCACTGATCCGGAGACAACTCAGAAGAAGACTTCCAGACCGGTGCTGATATCTGACCACATTTATCCCGAACCGCCACGAACGAAGAAGATTGTACCGGCTGTTCAGCCGATGAAGATTGAAGAAGATCCCGTACCTGCCCGATATGAATTCTCGGCAGAGCCCGCACAAGTCCTTGGGAAGGGACGTGCGATAATGAACGAAGAACCGCCTGTATCCAAGGCGCCCAGACTGGCCCCTGAACCAGCAATAACTCAGAGATTCGAATTTTCTGGAGAACCGATATCCGTTCTCGGAAAAGGACGAGCAGTCCGAATCGAAGACCCTCCCACCGCCAAAAAACTCAGATTCTATGAAAGTCCTGAGTCCGCAATGGAGGAAGACCCCGAACCGGCATATTTAACCGCCGATGAACCGCCGAATTCCCTCAACCTCTCCATGACACCCGCGCATAATTCCGAAGAAACAATGACGCTATCTTCAGACACCGAACTCCCTCCTGTGTTACAAGAAGCCCAGGATATTTTTATTGACCGAATCGCTTCGATCCATGAAGCATACCGTCAAAATGAAATAAAACAGGAAGCACTAGACGACGGGCCGAGTTTTGTCAGATTTATTGACATGAACAACTCCGAGGATGACGAGGATGAAGACACAAACGTACCCTCTTCGCATGATCTGCGAATGGTAGATTCAGAAGGAAACGACTTCGAAGACGACGGCCCGCTCCCTGGCCTAGACTTCTGATTGGATATGATTAGTCGGTGACTAATGGCTTAGTAAGGGGGTGAAACCCTCTATTTTTACTTATTTTCCACGCCTACTCCACCCTGAACACTGATCACCAATCCCGAACTCAACTTCTATGCAGGTCCGGAATGACCCTAAACTAGATAAGGTCCGGAACGACCTAAAACTAGATATAGTCCGGAAAAGACTCTAAACTACGATTGTCCGTAATGACATAAAACTAGACGATGAACAAGGACGAACCCCGGAAAACTCCTGCAAGCTTCGGGACCCCTCTCATCACTGCACTTCGACCACCTGAGTAGACCACATATAAACAAAGGGTAATAGAAGACGACCTCCCCGCTGGACGACCCCAAGAAACTCTTACAAAGCCTTGGCACCCACGCTCGGATCCCCACCTTCGATATCTAATAAAGAATCTAGGAATAGATCTCTAAAGAGATAAGAAGACTAGACCTCCGGAACGAGGCTAAACTATCACGAGACGAACTCCACGGAAACTCCTGCAAGCCCTTGGAACCCTCTAGAACCCATCATGGCAATGACGACCACCCTCTGATGATGACCTGATCTTTCAACAAAGATAAAGGACGATAGTACCTATCACGGCACTCTCCCTCTGATAGCGAAGAAGAATCTCGAACACGAGTTAGCCTCATGGCTAGATAAGACAATAAGAGATAACGATAAAGATAAGTTTAGAATGAATCGGAGCTTGGATTGATCTGGAAGAAGGTTATAAACCCTCTCGATCCCTGAACATCTCTCCCAACGAACCTCCATCATCATCATGACAAACTCCATCGATAACGACTCTATCAAGATGACACTGAAGGACTCAGACTACGGAACAGTCCTCAGAATGACGGAAAACAGCGCGTTCAATGAAGCCGCTATCCTGACCCCCGCGTACTCCCAAGCGATCGATAAAATCCTTGGTGAACAAGACGCCAGAACTGCAGCGTGCACCTCCCTCACCGTCTGCATTATACGAACCACGAAGCTGCTGGAAGATGTAGCTAATCGTGTTGACCTTGATGAAGCAACTCGGAAACTTGCTGTACTTCATCTGCAACGGCGGATTAGAAACTTCGCACTTCACCTACTCCCCCTCGACTTCTCTGATATCACCGACCTAGCGATAAAAGAAGTTGAAGTGAAGCCACTTATAGAAGAACCCCGCCCGGTACGCCCGCTGAGAAGAAAGGCGGCTACCATAGATCGAACCCGTAGAACGCTCTGCAAGCGCTGCGGAGGATACGGACATCAGTTCAGAAGATGTCCAGATTATGTTTGTTGCATCTGCGATGAACTAGGACCTGACCATCTGTCGGTCCACTGCCCACGACTCAACGGACGCATTGTACTCCAAGAGTTTAGCGATGAAGAGAAGTTTTTCGAAGCTCTCTTAGATTGGGAGCATAACCATAAGGCACTCGCGGATCTAGAACTTCAGCATCCCACTGAACTTTCCCTTGTCCCTGAAACTCCCTCAGTACCTTCCACCTCCTCACCAGTAACTCCCACACCACTTGTTGCTACGATGGAAGAAGACGTTTAAGATGTACAAAGCCGGTGACTTTGTGCGTAGTAATGGGGTAATGTTACAGTCACTACGTGAGCCCCCAGCTACACGACCAGCCCTCTGCCACCTTGCACGGCAACGACACGATACCCGGGCCTTTAGGCCTTGATGATAGATGCGAATAGAAGAGAAGTCCAGAAGATGCCGGATTAGGTAAGCGATCTGGATCGCTTACATGATATGACGACATAGGTCTAGAAGACCTATATATGTTATCAAGATAGAAGGCAAGCCTCGTGTTGCCTCATGTACTGATAGAAGCCTGCCTCATGCATGGTATCTCTGACTCGATAGATAAGCACTTAGAACCCAGCTTCAAGCTGAGCTTAGATACGATAGAGTAGCCTTATATAAAGGTCGACGATTAAAGTAGATGTTCCTTACTTTAATCCTACTGGGTTTACCATCGAAACCTTTGTCTTGCTAAAGCTACCTGCTCGACATCAGACCCGTACCTTCAGGAGGACTTGAGACCCCTTCTGCCTGTAACTCGCTATCATCGTTCACCTCCGTGAACGTACGCAACTCCTGCTCTTCTGTAGGAGCCGACCTCGGACTCTCAGCACGAGGTATCACTGTCGTGATCGTCGCTGTTAGATCATCCCAGTCCGCACGCGACACACGTCGTAACACATTCCATGCTTATATAGCTTTAAATAGATTGGCAATTCAAAGCATATGTTACGAAGAACGAGACTACTCCAGGACAACGGGACTACTCAACATGCGGGATGTAATTAAAGTGATAGCACAATACCTTAACCTCGCTGCAAACTTTTATGCTTATCTAGATGTGATGACCGGTGCTAATGCCACTTTCCGAGATAAAGTCATCAATAGCCTTGTAGCTCAAGGCACCAATAACCGAAGATGAAAATGCCCGACAAAGTTAATGTAAAGATCCTGCTATCCCTTGCCGGGTACGATGGCGCAGAGTCATGATCTCGTTATGAAATCTTCAATATAGTCTACGTTTGCAGGTATACATAGTCATGTATTCAACAACTCAATATTTTGGCATATAAATAGTGATATTTAGCAGACACACAATTATATTCGTCTATAGTTCACACGGCTACAATATCGAGGACTGATGAATTCACTGATGAAAGTTGAGGACAGTATACTAAGCTACGTGCTCAAGATTTGCGCAACACAGTAGCACCACACTCAGTGACCAATGGACATGAAACAGGCTAGGATTGGCACGAAGCAATAATTCGGCACAAACGGGAACAGCAAAAACCATAACTCGACTACGTGTACCAAACGAAAACGAAAATAACGACGAAAGAGTGGACGGTACACGAGATTGATGGTGAGAGAAGCATGAATAGTCGGTAGTTGGAGGCTCTGGAGGCCCTCGACGAATCTTGTGACTGTTAATGTACACTTCAGTATTGATTGGCAAGCAATGAAAGAAGGGGGGCTTACATTGTCACACAAGCAACATTATGGCGATGATCGACATCAAGCAATGACACAATATCCAGCAGTTAACAGTGGCCTACTCTCATGGTCAACGGGGATTCCGTCGGAATCCCCTGCGAGATCATCATTCCCCAGTATTGTTATTAATGGATAAAGCTGCGAGGTGATAGATGTGAATGCGTCCATGGAATGAATAGCAGCAAGAGGGTTTTACGAAGAGCGAAGTGCAAAGTTAGAGCAGTCTGTGAGAGTCAACGGCGTAATGACTGGAAGTGTTTGGGGTTAGTAGTTCACGAGGATGATTGAGCAAAAAGCTCTATACAGCTGGCTCTTTAAAGCCATTACATCAATGACAGTGGATCACAATGCCAAGTTTATCTGAATAATAATAATAATTACAGCGTGCAACAAAGGAGCGGTGTTTGAATTCTGAGGCCACTTGTATTATGTAATCACTAGATGAAAAGGACAATACTTGTGGATCACGGGCAAGATATATAAAGTCAACTGTGGATGATTATGGGTACCATAATTTACTTCCCTCGACACCAAATACTTTGACACTACGCGGAAGCTCCCGCGCAGATATATCTCGCATCGCCTTTAAATTAGCCTATCCGCTTGCTCAGAAATCAAGACATACTACGACACAGCATGGACTCCTTCTTCCATCTCGAAGATATGATGTTATCATCCCCGAGTCACTATGATGAGGGTGACGAGAAAACATCCGTACCTTTGGATCAAGACTGTTACTGGTCAACGGGGACCTATTGTGTGATCTCGTAAGGCCATCTGTAAGTAGATTCGCCTCACAGTAGTCCTTTCGCCCCACTGATGATGGCTCAGATTTCTCACCATGCTCTACCATTTCCATTCCTTTAGTCTAAGGCTGTTTCGGCCCCTCGAAACGTTATCGTGAGTCATTCCCTTTGTCCTGGGATATGATACTGATGCTACGTTCTTCAAGTATTTATCCTGTACTTGTTGCACCCGGGTCAGTTTCTTCCGATCTCGGTGTACATTTTGTTAATCCTTCCGAGATGCTTCATTACCCGGTCAAATCACTGCATAAATGTAGCTTCAGATACTTACTCACCACACGTTCTTTCTCCGATCGTCTCTTTCGTCTTTCTTCGATCGTGTTCCCGTTATCCACGGCCATCAGTTAGCGTACCATCTCTTGTCTTCGGGCTATTTATTACGAGTAGATGGCCAATTGTGATATCAGTCAGTGACAGCACGAATGAACGACCCGCAAACGCGGGAGCATTAACAATATCCGGGCTGAGCTCAACCATGGAGCTTATTGACGTAGCTACCAGTCTCCGCCACGTCTGGATTCAGGACATGGATGTGGAAAAGCCGGCGCCGATGATGGATGTTGATGACCTTCAGAGGTCATTTAGCCTTTGACCATGTTGACATATACTTGGGGCGAGAAGAGAATCAACCCCCGTGAACAGTCATGCGCAAGATACAGGTCATTAGCTGAGAAGATCGTCAAGAAAATTTTCCATCTCCACTTGGGGCGCCTTCCTCGGCGTGTCATTAGGAAGAGCTGGCGCCTCAGAATAGTTATCCCCTGGCCGATGCGTACTTGTCAACGAGATCATGTTCACAGATAAGAGGACTCTACCTTGTTTTGTATCGCGTGAAAACAAAGGCTTTACTTTGAGCTTCTCCGACTTTGCACGGAATCGCGCCTTCAGATCTATCAAACACGTTCAGTCTCTTACATTCGAGTTATGATTTACTTGGAAATCACCTCGACTTGCATCTGCAGCGGCTTTTTCGCGACTCATTTCCTCAAGTTCTGCGTCCCACTCAATTGCCTGTACGCGCCCCTTCTGAGAAGTCGGAGGTGGGATACGATGAGACGATATATGTGCGAGTTCATGGTCGATGTCATCATCATCGACTGGAGGCACTGCAACCACAGTCGTCTCCGACACGTCCGATAACCTCTGTCTCGCAAGAAATGACGACAAGTCTACTTCCGGCTCACGAATCTCCTCTCCTACATGGTGTCAAACATAAACTCAACAAATCATTCACGCACTGCTCACCGTCAGAATCTAACTCAGGCTCGAGCTCCGCATAACGATCGGCGTTAGATCCAATGTGTCGCCGTGCGTACTTTTGTTGAAGTTCTTTCGTCTCTTCCGAATCAGGGTCGAGATCGACAACCTGTTCACCTTCCAGCACTAGGCGCTGGTGGAATTCTGCTGGGCGGCCACCTCGACCACGGCCTCGTGCGCGCAGGTACTTTCCTAGCCCACCACGGGACTTCCCACGACCTCTCCCGCGAGTATGCGATGACTCGGAAGTTAACGAGGCATTCGATTCTGACATGTTACATGTGCAGATTGCTAGGTGGGTGCCAGATGTGAATAAACCTAAAGAAGACCGTATCATTATAAATCAGCTTGTTGGCTTCAACAGGTCCAAATAAACCACGGCGGTGGTTGGTGGCTGCGACGCTTTGGCGACGCTGCGTTCTTTGTCTGGTACGCGTTTCAAGCTCAAGCGACTGTGGACATTCAAGTTCGCAGTTTCAGGCCTTAGGGCTATGATGTACGGTGCTGCACTGTGGATATCGTTGTTCCATCACCCACATGTGTTCGCATACAATAAACAAAACGTCAGGACTTGATCGTCGAAAATCACCCATTGTGGCCGCCATCATAGGCTAAGATCTGTGGGAGTGCACAGTCTGATGCACTGGACTCTGGCTGGGCAGGCCTTTTTCGCCTTTCAAGCTTCAAGTTACTACCAGCTTCAGGCGTTGCCTGCAACTGCAAGCATGGATAGTAGATAAGAATTTTACAGTTGTTTGAGAAAGTAATGTTACGCCGTGCAAATATAAGGGATTTGCTTTAAGCTTCCCCGACCCGGACGGCCCTTTGGACGAAATCGTGCTTTGGATCTGTCAACCACAATATTAATCACGGTTCACTGGCAGTCTACACAGGTAGGTCTACACACCGGCTGTCATTAGTTGAAGACTTGAAGTCACCTCGACTGGCATCTGCAACAGCCTTTTCGTGATTCATTTCTTCAAGTTCTGTATACCATCTGATGACCTATACCCGTCCTTTCTGAGACGTGAGAGGTATGAAACGATGAAATGAGATATGTGCGAGTTCATGGTCGATGTGAGCATCATCGACTTGAGGCACCGCAACCAGTCGTCTCCGACACGTCCGATAACCGCTGTCTGGCAAGAAATGACGAGAAGTCTACTTACGGCTCACGAATATCTCCTACACAGTGTTAAACATAAGCTCAACGCATCATCCACTCATCACTCACCGTCAGAATCCAACTCAGGCTCGAGCTCTTCATAACAATCGGCATTTGATCCAATTTGCCGCCACGAATGATTATGTTGCAGCTCTTTCGGCCCTTCGAATCAGGGTCGAGACCGACAACTTCACCCTCTAGCATTGGGCGCTGGTGGAATTCTGCTGTACGGCCACGTTGACCTCGACCTCGCGCGCGAAGGTACTTGCCTAGCTCACCACGGGGCTTTCTACGACATCTGCTGAGCACGCGATGGTACGAAGGTTGATGGAGAATTTGATTCCAACATGTTACACGGGTAGACTGATATGGGCGGTCATCATACAGGTAAGTACACTGTGGTAACAAGAATAGATATCTATGTATCGAATAAGGAAGGCAGCACCTTATGATTTCAATAGGTACAAACAAACAGCTGGGCCGACCGAGCATAACAAGTATTGATTTACACAATAGTACATCGCAAGAGGAAGGTACTAAGCGCTAGATAATGGACTTCTCGATCCCCTGAATACCGATGGCAGCTACTCTTCATCCTGAAAATCGCCACTAAAGAAACAATAGATGCCCCAAATATAAATACACATGTAAATGGTAAGTCCAATGCATAGCGAAATCAGCATATCAGTGACATCGCATGCAATCTGCTCATGCCAACTGAGAGTTACTGGTGTGGGTTCTGGAACGGAAAGTCGTGGGGGTGTCATCGGAATGACCGGGGGTTCCTGAACTGGTCGCTCAGTAATCTCCCGGCTAGGCCAGCGTAACGTCATCGGATGGTCGTAGACCACCTTTCTACACCCTTCGATGTCTTGTCGTAATTGCCTCTCTGCTTGCTTAGCCAAGCAGAAGCTTAAATAATCTTGCGGATCCATCTTCGTGCAGCCAAATTCAGTGAGCTCCCAGGAAGGAGAGCGAGACTTTTCAATCTCTATCTGCTCGAGATGTTCGCGCTCTAGAAGATCCTCCATGTCCCTGAAGAAGCCAGGGTAGGATGTAAGGCAGTCTTCATATACGGAATGGTCGTCATCATCATCCGAAAGAAACTCTCTGAAGGGGTCGGTATTCTGGAAGCAGTGACGTCAATTGATGAGAGAAACAATGTCGAAGAGCGCACAAACGTTTATAACAAGACAGGAGCGCAATGCCCCCTTTGGAGTGGGGGACCTGTGAGGTTTGATTCGGCGCCTGGTGCGGAAGTACGTCGGCGACTCATCGAAACGGACCAGCTGTGCAGAACGAATTAGAGAACAATCATTTATAATATAAGAGTAATAATCACTTTCGGGCTAGTCAATTCCTCCTGGATCGGAGACCCGACAAGTGTCTCAGACGGTGAGGTAAGACCTTCGGTGAGATGTGTTTCGCCATCACGGGACTTGCTCTTTCGTGAGGGACGAAGCAATCGTCTCCACGAAAACGCAGAAATTCTCGAAGATTGCAACACTAGTGCCATGGAGCGCCATGGAGTTGTATTTTTAACCTTTGGAATAGTAATTCTAAGCACGGGGCGGGAGGACGCCTTCGGGGATGAAAAGGGCTTCATGGTGACACCAAAAACTCCAAGATAAACTCGACCGCTGGAAAGTGGGCTGGGCACAAGCGGAATATAGATCAGTGATCAAGTCGAGCGATGAGGATTGTGTGATAAATAAAAACCCCTCTGCTGGGGATGCAGATGGAGAGATATACGAGGCAAGTCGAGCAGGTAGAAGTTGGGAGGACACGCATATTGAAGCCTCTTCATTTATTCTGTGATCTCCATCCACTGCGGCTGTGGACAAATCTCTGTGGACACAATTCTTCTGCATTGTGTATAGATTTAAGACTCCGGCCTCGTCCGGCTGAGAGTGTATGCGAATCAAGCGTCGTCTAGGACATCAAATGTGATGTTGTGCAGTGTGGACGAACAAGCGAATCACATCGGGGTTTGCCTGAAGCACGTTTTTGATGGAGACAAAGCAAGAAGCACTTTCCGACTTCCGAGTGGCACTAGAGTGTTTGTCGAGATGCTGCAATGCAGACTTTCTGCTAACGACAGGCGTCTCAGTTGCAATTGAACAACTGTACATACGATTTGGTGAGTCTGCATATTTTGGCGCCATCGAACCTCGATAGCGTAGTACACTCGATTCCTGGAATGACCGTCTTTCTTCTATGTGGTTTGACTATACAAGTAAACTTTCCGTGTACACGGAGGTGCACAACATTGAAGGAATGTTGGGGGTGTCCACCCTGAGTAATTTATGTGTGACGCACGACAGACATCATTTGGACTCGGAATCCTGGGGCCTGGGCAAGTAGCTGCTGCAGAGGGCATCTCCGGACAAAGTCTGGAACATGGCAGGCCCATAATCGGTCGGCAGATTCGGCACCTCCAAGCGGAGTATGAAAGTTGCTATGTCCGTTACTGTTTCTCATTCAACTCACTGTCTGCAACAGCGCCAAGGACTTACCTCCATGGATGTTAGCCTTTTTGCTGCCATGCAGCGACACAACGAGCCCGTCTTTCCTGATGTACCGTACCCTCAATAACTGACTTTCTCTTTGACGTGGTGGCAAGGAGGTGGGCGGGCAAGGAGAAGCCAACGGGATGTTAGGCGGCAGCGGCGGGCGCTTTGGCGGGATCGATTGGCATGGCCGTTGAAACAGTGAGCGTGGTTTAAACACAACTGGAAGTGCCGTTGGCTGCCTTCGTGTCCCACGCTTTGGCTTGTACTTTTGGCCCAGATGACACTCTGCTGCTGGAGGTGTCAAAGGTGCGACAAACTATCGTAAACAGATTCCCTAATTAGAGGTTCTCGAGAGTACTGCGTGCATTGACAACTTGAACGTTAATCTTAGACCCTTTCCCCTTTCCTATTCAGGTCTGGTGGCACGAGTGCAGTAGAGGTAACAATTAGGCTCGCCTCGCTTTCCCTCAATATATCGATATCTATCAAGTATTGTACCCTCTCAGCTCGAACAACATGCATTCTCCATTCTCGCGAAAAGCTCATGCATTCAGAATTTACAATGAAGAAGCAATGGTAGGCCTGCTGTAACCTGTTGGAGTAAGATGCTGATATATGGTGCTACGCTGAGCGATTGACAATCGACTTGTCACAGCCAGGTGAGATCGAATGCAATACAGAACAACGCTTTCAGACCAACGCCATCCTCTACTCTACTCGCAGATGGGTAAAATACAAAGGCTTCATAGCAGACTTCTTGTAAGTAACGCCGATGCGACCATCTGCGAGCAAGCTCAATGAATGTTAGGACGTTCAAGCTTGCATCTCGTCACCTCAAATCTCTTCCTTCTATCTGTGTTGTCTTACTCACAATCTGACTTTAGCTTGCTGGATCGCATGCGGCTACCCTCGGCCGGACATTCGAGGTTTCCTCGATGCTACCTCATCTCTTTCGTCAGGGAACAAACCATTCCTCGACCTTATTCAGTCCGCGATGTTGCAACCAAATGATCATACGTTGAAGATTCAGCGTGCATTTCGCACATTTCTCTTTTTTTTATGGTCTCAACCTAGTACTTTCAGTGATGATGGCCTTAAACTTCGAACTGTAAATCTCCGCATCTCATACACTGAACAACTGAGTAATCAACCGATCCCGCTGCACGAACCAGTGACAAGCCGACAACGTCGGTGAAGAATCGGCTCCGCTGCCCCCCTATATTCTAGAATGATGTTGGCGCTCTCGCAACATTTTTTATTATATCAACGACTGCTGACATTGACAAAAATGTCAGAGGGACAAGTTGACACGTGTTGTTAGGGTTGGAGAGCAAGTCCAACAACCCCTGGACTTTCAGTGAGTGACTGCAGCTGTCTCTTACCATTCTACCCTCGCGTTTCGTTTTTGTGCTCGTTTTTTTGCATTTAGCCATTCCTTGGATCTTCTTACTTCTACCTATCCTTTTGACCTGCCTCGTACACTTTCTTCGACATGCGTCAGAATTTGACATCCCCGTCCAAGACCGAATCAAGGCAAGAACCCTAATAGATAATTACAGCATACTACGTATTGTACATGGATAAAATATTTCGACA